CTTCTGGTGATCATGCTTCCTGATTCTGCCTATGGGTCAGACTCTGAGTTGAGTTCCCTGAAGGGAGATCCTGAAGAGTTAGTTCAGAGCCCATATCTGCTGAGAGAGGTCAATCCCAATCTTTCGGCCTCTTCTCATTATCGCTATTGTCACTCTTGTCTGTCATACTCTGCTTTTTCATATGCTCACTGGGTCTCTACCTAGACATAGTTGGTGAGCTCTTTCTAGGCTCACTGCATCTCTGCTCAGCAGTTCTGATTCTGCTGCTACTGTACTGCACTGTTGTAGTTGAAAGGGACCATAAGATTCCAGTCTAGAAAAACCTGTCGAATAATTCTGTCCTAGGCAATTCTTCCTCTTGCACTGGCTGTTCCTTCTTCTGGCTGACTCCTGACATGAAAGTTGTTATTGAGATCCTCTGCCACAGTGATGGCGAGCTGCACATTCATAAAATCCTGATGGATGATTCATCTGTAGGGGTTGTCAAACCCCAGTCTGCTGATGGATTGGCTTGACTCAGAGATAGTGTAGAGAGAATTGTGAGGGGAGTTGAGAGTTGTCTGGGGTCTTGAAGCCATCTGAGTGGCATCAAGGGAGTCCTGAGCATGGTTTCCAATCTCTGAGATGACCAGAGAGGTGGGAGGATTGGAGAAGAGGGCCAAAGAGACATTGCCAAGGATCTCCTTGGGCTCCTGGATGATATTCATCATCCAAGGGTTCCAGAACCCTGCAAAAGCAGGGTTGCTGTTTCTGCTGAGTTATCGAGAGGGGTATTGGGGTTCTTCTTCTTTCTGAAGGCTCTCCAAAGATGAGTTGCTAGATCCAGCTTTGGATATGGATCATCCTTGCAGCTGAAAGGATATTCTGATGGAGGCAGAGATGTCATGGAAGAGAAGATCTGGAGTTATATTTCAGAGTATAATACAGACCTGCTGAAATGCTTGATAGTACCTGACTATTCAAATGATTACTAATTGTCATCTGTGGCAAAGGGTAATGATGGCTAGAAGACCTAGTAGCATTTCAATGATAAAAGCTATCAGTTTAAAGTCGTGATTGAGATTGGCAGTAGTGGCTGGAGGCATTCAGTTTCTCAGCACAATTGAGCTTGAGAAAGGAAAAGTGATAGCTTCGAGCTAATTGTTAGGCTCAAGCCACATATGATTAACTAACACATGATAAACTAGCATGGCTTCATATTCGAGCCTTCCACTAGAGTTCACTTTTATATGTTATTTGTTAATTCCCTGTGCTTCAAGGCATTGTGTGATTAGCACAAGAGTAGAATGAGGATGCATAAACTTTAGCTCAAAGCTGGGGATTTACCAGCGAAGATGAGCTCCTTAAATACTGTACATGGCTTGCTAATAATACTATATACTTATTATGTGTTTCTCTGTCTTTTATGCTCTTTGTGTTGGAGTGTTGTTATCATACAGAAAAGATTACTTGTGCATCATGAGACAATGCTGTTGTATCAAAAGACAATAACAGACTTCACTAGTTGTGATAACTAAGCTTTGTCCCATAATCTTAAGCACCTGTCTTAGCACTCTGACTAAGCATAAATAGAGGTCATAAATAGAGGTTATTCAAGGAAAAAGAAAGTAAATCATAATACAACCCTCTCTACTGCCCCTCAACTTGATCAACAATGAAGAACACTATAAAGTGGATCAAGTATTGCATTATAAACTATGAAAAGTAAAGGCAAAAGAGAGCAGCATAATAATAACAGTTGATTATCTGATCAGTTAGAAGGGCTATAGACTAGAATCTAATCAATGGGTTAACAAAAAACAAATGGCTGCAGATGAAGCCATATATGACTATGAATTATCTCTAAATTAAGCCATCAGGACAATGGTCTTAAAAAGGGGGTAATGTTACAATTTTTCCATTTTCTTTATCTTTTTTCTATGGTTAACCCCTATTTATGCTTAGTCAGGGCACTAAATGAGTGTTTAAGGCTGTGAGACAAAAGCTTAGTCATCACAACTAGGCCAAGTCAGTTATTGTCTTTCGATGTAACAGCATTGCCCAACAATGCACAATCAGTCTTTTATATACAGTAGTGATGCTCAAGAACAATGGGCACAAAGAACACAGCAATGCACAATAGATAGTGGTATAATTAGCTTGGACTTGTACAGTATTTAAGGAGGCTCACTCTTGCTAGGAAACTCTAGCTTTGAGCTAAAGTTTATTCTACATCATTCTATACTCAAGCCAAAAGCCTTATGACACACTGATCAGAATATGTATCAGTGAACTCAGACAATCTCTCAAAGTGCAAAGAGACTTCTGTTTATCATCTGTTTCTGCTCATGTGATGCTTGGGTCTAACAATCTCTGCCTTCCAAGTCTGAGCTGTCTGAATCCTTATTCATGTTGCTCAAAGATAAGAGGTCTGTAAAGAGGTCACTTCAGGCATTGTAAATTGTGCTGGCCAGTTGGACTCCATTGTTGGAATGCTGATGGCATCAAAAGAGTTAGGGAAGTTGTCATAGTTGAGTTGACAGATAGTGAAGCTAGAGTGGATGTAAGTTTCCCTACAGAAGAGTTGTCTTCTATCAGAGGGTGATCCAAAGAGATCTGGTTGTTTCTTTGAGGTGGAGGCCAGGATGTCTTTCATAGAAAACAGGTTAGGATGGATAGGCTGAGTTTGTTCAGAATCAGCTTCTGTGGATTGAGTGAATATGGTGGATATAATGTAGAAATTTTTTGACTCAAGGGTTTGAGTTTGAATATACTGTTAGAAACATGCCAAATGATTGAGCTTGAGTGCACATACAGAGACCAACAGAGTGCATGGATGTTGATGAAGCTATTGGCAATATTACCCTTGAGTCAAGGCCTAAGTATTTAGATTGACAGAACAGAGTTCTATCAAGAAAGTGAAGAGGAATATCCTTCAAAGTGAAATCCAGTGGATGGAAGAGAGAGATTCTGGAGTGATCACAAAGTGTAGATGGCTATTCAAGTTGATATTCAAACTGAGTATCTATGATAACTATGTGTAGTTTATATACTAATAGTAGCTAATTCTGAGTTGGAGTCTATTGGGCTCTGGTGTCAACTATTTGCTACTGTGTTCAGGGTCTAGATACTATAATGTAAAATACAAATGTGAAATAATAAAGGTAAAAATGAAATTAGTAGTGTGGAATGACTGAAGGCTGGTGGAACTTGGTGGTTGAATTCTGGGTTGGTCAAGGTGAACAGAAACCAGTGGCATGTATATAACAAATGCTCCCATAGGGAAACCTACATCCACTCCAGCTTCATGGCCTGTCAACCCAACTATGACAACTCCCTCTGCCCTTTTAATGCCACCAGCATCCCCACCAATGAAGCCTAACAGGCTAGCACTATCTATGGTGCTCACTGAATGCAGTAGAGGCTGCAGAGTGTGTGGATCTTGATGAAGCTATTAACAATATCACCCTTTGGTTGAAATCCTAAGATGGGTATAGACAGAGGTCTATAGAGTGAGAGATAAAGTTAGTCCTACAGAGTCAGAGGTTTACAGACTGGAGATGATGGTTAACTTGAAGGTCAACAGCAGAGAGAGGGTTGGCTTGAGAGCAAAGTTATTGGGCTGAACCAAGTTGATATTCAAACTGAGGTATGTACAAGTAATTCTACAGCTTATATACTAGTGCAGAGTCTGAGAAATCATGTTCTAGAGATTGAGCCTATGTCTAGACTATTGTAGCTAGAGGAGTCAGGATTCTGAGGACTCCAATGTGCATCTATTCACTACTATGACAGAATCTAGATGTGATAAATTAAAGAGATAAAATTAGTAGGTGAAATATAGAATGGAATATGAAATAGAAACTGGAAAACAGAGTCCAACAGAGTCCAATCAAATGTGGAGTTGGATGATAGAGGTTGGATTGAAATTGGAGGTCCATGGCATGCTTATTACAGGCAGCTGAGGGGATACTTTGTTTTACCAGTAGTTTACAAGTCCACATAGACCTCCTTCAGCAATTCCCACAATGCCCAATTTTCACCATTGAACTTCTCATCAGCTTCAAGTTTAAAAGGCAATACTTGGGATGTCATTGTTGTCAACATGCTTGAGTGTGAAATTTTTATAGGGGTCTATTTTTGTGATGAGTTATATGGGCCAACATCTATGATCCCAAGCTTTTGTTTTGAGGGTTCAGTAATCAATTTCTTGAGTCTTTGATAGATTCAGATGCAGTTGTTAGAATCTGAATTCATGAGGTTAAGCACAGTGGGACTGCATAACCTGTTAGTAAGCAATGATCTAAGTCTTCACCCGAATGGTTGTGAAAGACTAAGGTGCGACAGGAGACGAAAGAAAGAAATATGGTAGTGATCATGAAACACTTGACTATAAATAGAGGGAATCCGAAAGGTCTGATGATAGGCATTGGCTGAACCTCTCGACACTACTCAAACAACACCAGCTATTGTTATACTGAACGACCCTGTTTCTCTCCGCACCTCTTTCCTTGAGTACTACTGCTACCAGGGATGCGATAAACGACATCTTCGTCGATCATCGATCATCCCGAGATTTGTCTTCCGGCGGCCATGATCCTCATGAACGCCGAAGTTCATGTACACAATTCAAAAAAAACCTGGACAGAAATCCCGGATTTCTGCGTTATGTTTGGTTTGTTGAAGTAATTCCAGCTATCGCCAGGAAAGTAGACATCGCTGGCTTGTTTGATCAATGCAAACTTTACCAGCGGCTTTTCTGGGAACTAAATAAAACTTCCTTCACTCCAAAAACGTCCATCGGAAGCATCGTTCTGGCTGGGCTTTGTTGATTCTGAGCAGCCCCGGGTACATTCAGGTCGGCGTTGAGAAGTTCTTGTCGGAACTGGGTCCAGACGAGCCGCGAAAAATCGGTGGGCTACAGCTAATAATACAAGCGCAGTGCGCTTACTGCTAAGCAATTCAATTGCGGGTACAAAAAAAAAATACAATTCATTGCCAGGGTGAATTTTAAGCCATTTCCCTTAGCTGTCTCCTCATCTCTATCAAGGCCTGTCCCAGAAGGTTTAATCCCCAATGGTCCTTTTTATTCATAGCATTTTTCTCTCCATATCAGATGCCCCATATTCGATCCCGAGGACTGGCTTCTACAAGAACCTTCTCGCCTGTTCCAAGTAGCATTTCTTTCAACTCGGAATTCTGCTTGAATTTATGTAGGTTCCCTTCCAATACAATTCGACTGCGTTCGCGGTTCCAGAGATCATCACCAAAATTGGAAACCTTTCGGCCGAGAGCTTTCACAGCTGCAACGTCGGAAGTAAGGACTCGGCGAGCAATTGTGATATCGTTGAAGAGAAGTGCTTTTTGGAACATCATCCAGTGCTCGGCCGTGGGGAATGTCAGGGTCTCAGTCTCTTCCGAGATGATTATTGGAAGGGTGAATGGGGAGGAGTACCATTGGCTAGCCCAGCCACTAGGAGACGGGTGGGTCATCCATGAACGGTGCGATCTCACATTAAGGACGTACTTGGGCTGCTGTGGCGTCCAGAAGAAGATATGGTCGTCTTTGGTGAGCGCCATTCTTGGTGCGGATGCGTTTCGAAGTTATTGATTCGTACCTTTTCGTGGGTTTTTAAGGATGTCACGGTGACTCAGACTTTGACAGAAATCAAACCCACTTGATGGGACCGAGCAGGACTGAGGCTGAGTCGACGGATCAATAATATTTGCCTCTGTAAGTTGCGGTATATGTGGCCTTAGGCCAGTTCTTACCACTCAAGTGAGATAAACACCAGTTATACTTATTATAACATTGGAACAGTGCTCGTTTCACAGATCACAATTAATTTGATGCGCCACAAAATTTCAAGTTGACAAATGTGGTCTCGCTTCCTGTTCTTGCGGTGCCGACTGGCGAAAATCGCTCGAACGATTAGTCTATGTGGGGCCCAATATGACATAGCAATGCGAATGTCCCACAAGGTATGCTCTATTTACGCCACCTACGGAAACTTTCTGATTTAGCGGAACACATTAGTACCGGCGCGTCATTCACGAGTTTACGCGTCGAGCGCGCCCCGTTCTTGTGAGTCACACTAGGTACAAAGCACCTGCAGAATTCGGTTGCTAATCCGTCCCTGACCGTCCCCCGATTGAATGGAAGCCAATATTTTTCCCGGCTGCATTTTACGGGACTATCTGGGCTTCATACACGCGTTCATGTGGCCCTCAACCCGCTGGGGTCGGACCAATAGGGGAGCTCTTGGTCGCCGACTCGGACCAAACCCGACCCTCGCTCGCTTGTGTGTCTTACACGACATTCATTTATATCCTTACAAGAGGGTGGAAGACGGTAGTGCCGCGGGCAATTGAATGTGTTTCACTCAGAACCGAACCTCGGGTGCAACCTTAACCAGCCCAATTCAAATTACCAACGGCCGATCATATACCATGGGAGCTTATGTAGCTTATGATCTGACCGGTCCTCGCTTGGTCTCCTTAGCGCGTTTTGCTTTTTCCCTTCATGCCTAGTATTGCGACGATTGGGCGTGCTTCGACAGATGGCGATCCCTGGCCACCGCCCATTCCACCGGACGCCAGTGAAGAGGAACGTTTGGCGCGCTTGGAGAGGGAGCGAGAGGCCCAGAAGGTCAGTGATGGGATAGACCGTGCCATCAGCATTGAGAAGGAGCAGAGGAAGAAACAGAATGGAGTAAAGCTCCTTTTATTGGGTACGTCGCTTAGTTCGAGCGTGTCCTTTCTAACTGGGAATATGGACTCAGGCCAGGCAGAATCTGGGAAGTCTACGGTCTTGAAGAACTTCCAGCTACGTTTCGCCCCAAAAACTTTTCAGGCTGAGGTGAGTGACTGCTTCTCATATTTGAATGCATTTCTTATTCCGACAACCTTAGGCCGAGCTGTGGCGACCCATAATACATCTGAATCTCGTCCGTTCTGTCAACTTCATACTAGATCTTCTATCATCTGAGAGACCCTCAAGCCCACCACCCTCTACGTCTCTCTCCTCTGAACCTGATAACTTGCGACGAATACAGTTCAGTCTACGGCCTTTGAAACAAGTCGAAGACTCTTTGACGAAGCGTATATCCGGTTCATTATTCCTCCCAGTCGTCAGTGGCGACGAACTGAAGGAATTTCCCCGGTATCACCCTGCCAAAGCGTCCGAAGTTTCAGTACGATCTGGCTCGGGCTGGATGGGATTCATGAAACTTCGGAGACCAGCTGATTCCTCCCCCGGTCGGTCTGCGCAGGATAAGACAGAGGACGAACAGAATAGGCGGATATTGGAAGCTTGTGTGGATGATATTCAGGCATTATGGAGGGCAAAAGAGGTGCAATATCGCTTGGCAGAAAGAGAAATATCGTTGGTTCACCAGCCGGGCTTGTGAGTCCGTCAGTTACTTGGGTTCGTACTGCAGTCTTACCGTGTGGTCTGTTCTCCACAGCTTCCTAGAAGACGTCGAAAGAATATCAAAGCAGAGTTATGTGCCTACATCTCGCAAGTCGCTTGGTCATAAGCTTTGTGCTAGCAAAACTAACTGGCATTTTAGAAGATATACTACGCGCGAGGGTGAAAACGATAGGGCCCGAGGAGCATCGTATACCAATGGACACAGGTGTGTATGGTATGATCATCAAGATTTCGTTCGTTGATTCAGGGTCGAGGTGTTTTCCCGCCAGGCCCGGAAGGAAAGCATTGGATAATATACGATGTTGGAGGCAGCCGAAGTCAACGAGGTTATTACTTTAGGATCGTCGCGAGTTAATAGTGTTAACGCATCTCTTTCAACAGCGAAGTGGGCGCAGTTCTTTGACGATAGTACGTCGCCGTTTGCTTTCGGGCCTCGGCACGGTGATATTAACAAAACGCATGGGTCTTTAGTCACGGCGATTATTTTTCTAGCACCTATATCAGGTTCGGACGGATTCGTCCTCATAGCATTGTTTGGTTAGCTGAAGTATTGGACAGCCTTCAATCAGGTCTTGGCTGAAGATGCTACTGTAAACCGGCTGGTAAATCCGTGTGGGATTGGTAGGAATGTCAGTACTGAAGGTTCATTTCAGGCGGATTCATTCAAACTGTGGAAAATGATATGCAGCAATAAGCTGCTCGCCTCGGTGGACTTGATCTTGTTCTTGAACAAGACGGATATACTCGAGTCCAATCTAGACTCTGGCGTGCAGTTCCGCAAATATGTGCCAAACTATAAGGAGAGACCGAATGATGCTAAGCATGTCTCGAGGTGTATGTAACATTTCTGCTGTTCTGTTCTCGGTGTCGATGTTGATGGAATGTCTTGCAACAGATCTGCTGGATGTGTTTACGGCGATGCATAACCAGTCAACTCCAAAGAAAAGGAAGGTGCATACGCATCTGACGTGTGCAATAGTGAGTAGTCTATGTACTTTGAGGCCGATCCCTCTCTGAGTATGTCAATTTCACAGGATACGGAATCTACGTCTTTGGTCATCACACAAGGTAGGAACTTGTCAATATGTATGAGCCTTCTGGCTGACCTTCAATGCTTCAAGTAGTCCAAGAAGTCATTCTCGTAAAGACACTGGCGCAAACGAATATTTTGTAAGTATTTATAGGGTTATTTATTGTTACATCTCGTGGTTTTGCTTTTTCGTTGTTTTCCCCTTCTCAAATACTTGACCTCAGTGCTGTATATTACGATCTTTCTGTAGAAATATTTCTGGGGCATCATATTTACAATCGTGCATATCGTTGTCCGGATCTATAGACGAGGAATGTGAAAAGACGTTTGTGAAAAGTCCACTGTCTGGGACCACCACGTGCATGACGTCAATCGGGCGCTTGACACTATTCGTACCAGCACCACTCCTTCAGCTTCCTCCTCACCTCTTTTTTTGCTCAAGATGCCCGTAAAGTCCTCAGATATCCTTCTTATTATTGTCAGAAAGATTTTTCTTCCTTGGTTGGTATTGCAGCTTACGGCCTTTCCAGGTTGCTATTCTGTTTCCGCCTGCAGCTGCTTTCTTCGTCTCAGGCTGTGGTGCCGACCTTCTCATCAACTTCCTCTTGACTCTGTAAGTGATATCTACAACTATCTTTTTGGACTGACTGAGGTATGCACAGCGTCGGCGCATTCCCTGGTCATATTGTAAGTGCAGTCGTGTGTCGGGTGCGTTGTATTGAGACTAATGAATTCCGTTATCCAGCACGCTTTCTGGCTTATTTACAAGAAGATCAAGGCTGAGGAGATGTATGGTCCAGGAGGGTACGAATGTGCGTAATGAGTCTCTCTCTTTCCAAGTGGGCGCTAACTCGGTTTATTTTGATTAGATGTGGGATACGGATACTATGAGCCGGTTCTCAACTCTGCGCCATATCAAGCGCCTCCTTTCTATGGTGCAACGACTGTATAAATGAACCTTTCTTACTTTTGGTAGTATATACTCTACGGTATATATGCGATAAAGCAGTCTCCTTGCCAGAGCTGCGTGAGGACTTTCAGTACATTTTCAGAAATAATGGGAAATAATAATGTTCAAGTTTGGAAATAGGGGCGTATTTCATCTTTTTTTGGAATAGCGGGGGAAACAATCACAAATCACGGCTTGTGCAGCGACCGTCACCTCCTCTTACAATCTCTTCCTTCCTGTACGCCCAGATTCAAGAAATTGCAATCTATCGACATCCATGGCGACCCCTTCAAGGCTGTCCTATGCCGATCTCGCCAGGAGAGCCCAAAATATTCGCTCACCAAACGACGTGCAACGAGCAACCACAAGCAGCGCCTCGTCGACGTCGACAGTCTCTACTTCCTTCTCCAAATCCAACTCAAACTCGACAACGCCAAACTCCTCTGTTATCCTGGGGACACGGCCGCCCTCACCCTCACTCGACATTACTGACGCGAAAGCGCCGGTTGTAAATGTCTGGAACGTCCGCAAAGAGCAGATGGCTGCTTCGCGAACACTAACTCTCAAGCCATCGATACCGACCTTTCCGGAACATGACGACCCGTTTGTGGTTCGAATGCCACTGCGGCCGTCAATAGACGATGGCAACAGCTGGCCAGAGGTGGGAAAATTGGCGTCGAATCAGAGCAGCTCGACAACGAGTGGTACGTATTGAGTTCAAACCAGTGTCTATAAATCATTATGAATCACCCTCGCAGGTGAGGATGAGTCGCAGTCGGGGACGGGCGAGTTGACACGACGTATCAGTACTGTTGGCGAACCAAGGTCGACGACAAAAAGTGCGCCTGGCCTGGCATTCATACCTGTGTATTTTCCCTGATTACTTGTCGTTTTTCGCCGCAGGTGAAAAGACAAAATGGGTCCCAATCCCTGCTGAAGAGCTGCAAGCCGCTGCCGACGCCGCACGCCGCGCTGCCTCTCATTCCAAGTCTCACTCTCATTCACGACATCCTTCACATTCCAATTCGGTAAGAAATACCCCAAGTGGCTCCCAGAGTCAGACCCAGTCCCGCATCCAGAGTCAGGCCTCAAGCCCAAGACTACCTAGAGGGAGGCCGCTACCGGAGGAGGAAATAGCAAGCACCTCACGGTCGTCTCCACAAGTTCAACCACAAAATCTGACTTCACCCTATTCCTTCTCATCGCAGCCTATAGTCAATCCACCATACTATTCCCATCACAGCCCTTCGCATCAGCAGCATCTTCCCTTGCCGTCACCATATCCCATGTATCCGCCACCGCCGCCTCAACCATACTTGTATTGGAACGGCTACCATACCTCAGGATCTGGTCATCACACCCCAGAATATGCGGGATATCCTTACCCACTTCCCCAACCCTTCCCTTCTCAAGTCCTCCATCCCCTTCCACAATCGGAACCCGAACCTCAGTCGCATCCAACCCAAAACCCGAACGGCATGGCATCGACCGACCGCCCACCGAATAACACCGCTGCGACAAAACCCCCACGACCGGAAGATTCCGAGGCTGTTGCCGGACCCGCACTAGGGCGCGAGGGATCCGAGCCATCGAGGAAAGTGATATTCGGCAGTGTTGACATGCCAGGTAGCAGTCAGGCGCCGAGCCCCGCTCCGCCTTCGACCGATTGTGCAATAACACGTGGACTAGAGAGATCTTTTAGTGGGTTCTCAATTGGAATCGCAAAACGGTCAAGCGACGAAGGCATAATAGATCTCACTGAGAAAAAGTGGGAATTTGGAACAAGTTCCCTAAAAGATGAACAGGTTACGCAGGAAAAGAGCATTGAGGCACTTGGTGGAAATGGAGACGGGAATGACGTATACCCTCACCATCCACTGTTATCTGCCCTTGAGATTCCGCAGTTTAGGACGTCTCCGATAATGAACGGACCGATGTACGACCATGGACCTGCACCAGATGGTGAGGTTCCAGCAGACACATACGAGCATCATCACCATCGCACACAGTCCTCTATAATGTCGCCCGTCGAGATCGATGCGACGAATCAGACGGACGAGGACTGGGCAGTCAAGGACTTTGGGTTCGGGTTTGGTCATGCCAGTGGGAGCGGATACGCGGTGCGTTTGACGAGAGAGGAAAGATTGCGAAGGGAGCACGAACGAGAACGCGAAAAGGATAGAGCCCAAAGGGAGAGAGAGAACGAAAACGGTCTCGGCATGAATGGAAGTGGGAGTAGCGACAGCTGGAGTGAAAATGGGAACATCCAAGAGCGGCTGCCGTATGCCCCCCGACCAAAGCGCGGCGGCCTCTTTGGTAGCCACAACAATGGCTTTGACCGAGGGTACTTTACTGGTGAGAGAAGAGGACGAGGATGGAGAGGGAGAGGCCGGGCCGCTTGGCGAGGTTTCCAGCGTGGTGGTGGGCAGGCGCCTGGTTACTCTCCTCAGCAGCAACACTTCATCCCTCAGTTTGCTAACAGCATGGGTGATGGGTTGGGGTACGGCGATGGATTTTACCCTATGCATGGACATATGTACCCTCCGCCTCCTCAGCCGCAATACTTCGACCCTGGGTATGATGGGTATCAGAACGGTATCATGCAACCACATCAGCAGCACCAGGATCCGGGTATGCGTGGCCTGTCTACCCCTGTGCCTATGGGTGGTGTGCCAGTGCAGCCGCGTAGCCCAAATGCGCCGCCGTTGCCGACGCCTGTGACAGCCATCACATTTCCGCTGGATCATACAAGATGGTACCTGCTTGGGCAGCTCGAATATTATCTGAGCATGCAAAATATGGCTCAGGACTTGTTTTTGCGGCGGCAGGTGAATTTCGTATCATCCAACCTTCGACCATCTTCTCACTTCACTGTTTTTGTAGATGGATGCGCAAGGATGGATACCGATATCGCTTATTGCCTCGTTCAACCGTGTTAAGCAAATAACGGGTGGTACTGATGATGGGATCGTGAGAGATGTACTAACCCTTTCTTCGGTGGTAGAGCTGAATGCGACTGGGAACTGTGTGAGAATGATTGGGTGGGAGCAGTTTGTGTTGCCGGGAGCAAAAGAGAGCACTATAAGCATTGACAAGCTGGAGCACCGAACCGAATCTGAAGATCTGGAAGAAGAAGAAGAAGAAGAAGAAGAAGAAGAAGACGACGAGGAGGAGGAGGAGGAAGACGATGTTGTTTTCGTTATGGGAAGTTAGACGTCAACTGGGACTCACTTTTTCACTGAACGATGTGCTCCCATCTATTATGGTTTCTCATTCGTCGATTCGTTCCTAACTATACCTCGTCGGCGAGCTTTTTTTGGTTCCAGGGGCCTGTAACTTACTCATCTTTGTTGTTTCTCCGGCTCTCAAGTTTGATCTTGTTGTACGTGTTCCCTTGAGGTTTCTTTCGTGTTCTATTTTTTTTCTTTCGCCGCGCATATTTTTTCAACCAACCTAGCATATACACTTATACATACAACCACTTGCATCAATATCAATATCGTACATACGGCTTGGATCGTTATAATCTTTTGGCCTTGACGTGTGCAGACTTGGCTTTGAAGAGAGGAGGTTATAGGTTGTGGAGAAAATCAGGTTTTCGAGTCGGCTCGATTTGGAATTTGTTGTGATAGATTAGGGAAGGTATCCAGACTGACGGTACTTAGGCTGGATGCTGGTCATACTTTTGATGGGATATAAACACATTGTGTGAGTAAAGCATTCAATGTGACGCATACAACTGAAAATCATTGGTACTGACTTGAGAAACAACGATTCCGCTGGAGTCAGGTATGATTTCCTACTGCTTGTGCCTAGTTTTGGTCCTCTGTCAAATTGCTGGCCAATCAATCGCGTGTTGCCCGAGAGATATTCACGCTCCTAAATTAAAATACGAGTAAGAATGGTCACTTGGCAATGGCTTCAAAACTCTTAAGGGATTCTCCACATAGCAAATCCACTCCGCTCTTTGTCAACTTCCTTCACAACTTCCTTGCTGTCCTTGCTCCTAACGGCCGCTGCTAGTAGCAACGTCAAAGAAACCTTGAGGACATTCCTTCCCTCCTCTTCGTCACAGTCTGAACTTTCTTCATCCAGAATAATCCTCTTCCAATCGACACACAAATCCAAGAATTCATAGAGCACACTGACAATTCCTTCGAACTGCCCGGACTGGCTTTCACCTCCTTCGGGAGGAAGTTCTATCTTCCATAGCTCTTCTAAGGTGAGCGCGTCCCACGCCAAGAGCGGTGCGCCGACTTTGACGGGAACCACAATAGCCGGGCAGCCATTGAAAAGGATATAGTTGATGACGCTTTCTCCTGGGCGCGCGCTGGTCGTCCAAAGCTTCCTGTGAGGCTTCAACCCCATCAGAACAATCACCATGCGCCTCGGAGATGGAGGCACCGGGAGAGGAGTAAGCTGAGGTGTAGGTTCACCCTCAGCAGCACCCTTTCCTGACTCCGGTGATGGAGAAGGGCTGCGAGAGCGAGAAAGAAGGTTAGACAAAGACAAAGAAGGTATATTCAGATTTGAGAGAGAAAAACGTGAGGGTTCTTCGGCTTGAATGGTCTTGACCCCCGAAAGAGGAGCGCTTGTTAATATGATTACTGACGCTGATTCTTTCAGGAGCGTCTCGCCGATTTTGTAATCTCCTAACATAGGATGAAGATGGTGAGTACGACAGCGGATAAATAGAAGATCCAACAGTACCTTCAAGGAATGGGCCGTGACAAAAGAGAACATCGGGTTGCATCGTACGGGGAATGATAGGTCGGCGCGAACTGGCGAAAAGGTAAGGTGAAAACCATCCTTTATCGACAGAGAAGTAATCTATCACAGAGGAGAAAAGAGATGGATCCCTGAAAAAACATGACTATGACAGAATCTCTCTTTATCCTGAGGATTGCTTACTTATGTACACTACTCCTGAAAAAACCAAGAGCGGCATCCTCCATTGTTTGCTTGAACTTGAGCGTGATAAGGATGGACTTTACATTTGTAGTCTCAAGCATCTTTGAGTGTATCGGTATGATGTGCTTCAGTGTCTTATCGATGATCAGGTCATTTGCGATCTTTGTGGTAGTCTCGAAACCCGTGTGCACTCCTATCTCAACAAGGATGGAATCACCGAGCGAACCCACGACGAGGTCGGATACTGGACCCATTACCTAGAAATAGAATTAGCGTGCGTCGTGGTACTTCATCGGTAAACGCGCATACCGGAGCAGCTACGGCGGCCATACCTCCCTGCGCATATTGTCAGTAGTGCTCTTAGAATGACGGAGAAGATCGACGTACAGTCGCTGCGATCACGGTGTGAACCGCGATGTCCCGAAAGCGTATACAGGGCAAGGAAAGCGGTGAGGAGTCCCCCCAAGGCGAAAGACATATAATACTGGTACCAGCTGCGCGAAGTGATTCGTACGACGATAGTACGATCCGACCGGTCATCGACTAATCATGGTGATCGTAGCATGAAAACACGACTCAAACAAGACTAACATGCAATCAACTTACCCCCACGAGCTTGCGCATTATCCAGGGCGCCTTTATCTCCTTCTCCTGACGGGAATCACCGCTGGGATCCAGCGCAATGACGGAGCTGGGATCAATGGGACCCAAAGCAGAGGCTCCAGACATAGTATTTTTTTCAGGAATATCGCCAAGATCAATCGTGAACGTTTCGAGTGGTAAGTAGGAAACCGAGTGTGTGTATCCAGGAACGCGTCCATGATCATGCTAGTGGTTGTACGGAACGATATGTAATGATAGCACAATTCCCACGTGCATCGTCTTCTACTATTTTTAACGCTCTTGAACGAGAGAACAAGACATCCGACTTCCGTGCTGCGAATACAACATAGAGAATAGCGGTTAACGTGTCCAATTCCCAAAGCACGGAAAGAGCGTGTCTCGTTCAAAAAATCTTCAGTCAATACTTAGACCAACTTGGACTTATGATGATCATTCATCAGATAGATGTAATCGCTGTATCCCAAGGAAAGGCACTGGTGGAGCACAGGATTGAAGTTTTCAACCAACGAAGCTTACTCGACATGCCAGCAGCTGGCGCTCGTGGCAATAGAACTCGACAAGAATGGGAAGGAAAGCAACCTGAAAGGTGTCGGAGCGTAACTAGCGAGCAAAATAGCGAAGTAGCAAGATTTCCCCCTACTGTGAAGTGTTCCCTAGTGGGTTTGCAGGGATTTCATAGGTAGATAAGTAATGATGAACTTGTCCCGGTATGACAGTCACAACATATTCGTGATTCTAGAAACAGTTCCAGGGTGCTCACTGGCAGCCGATCTGAGAGTATACCAATACTGTGAGGAAACCCACATACAGAGAAATCTGAGAACACAGTAGATTTAGAGTGGATAAAAGTTGTAATATCAATGTTACGAGGCAAGGCCGACTAAGCTTACTACCTTCCTAACGGTGTAGCGTTGGAACCCCTTGACAGGAACTTTGCATTGGAAGGACATGAGCTTCGGGAGCTTCTTCTGCATCTCATAAACAATCTGTACTGATCGTAGAGCAAAAGGAAAACATACCTAACGAGCCATGTATCATACAAGTTTTTGTAAGATGTATAGTTCACTCATGAGTGTTCCATGAGTCTGGAACTAAAAAAGAGAGCCAGAAATGGCACGAGCCCTTGCTAGTTCTCGTGTAAATTCTCCAGGTTTAGGGAGCATGCATAGCTATAGAGATTTCGAAAACATCAAAGGACAACCCAGACCTCCTCTGAAAACACCTTGACCTCCTCCCGGTCACGCAAAACTTGATCAATAACTTCACTGATGCCACGGACATGGCATAGTTTTGCACAGCCTGCATAGATAGCGAGATACTTTGGTTTGGACAAGCAAGTGCGAATCGGTCGCCGTTGAGATAATTATTGCAAGAACTTTTTAAAACCTTATCGACAATCTGCTCCGGGTTCCTCAGCTTATAGGTGTTTTCACGGCGCTGATTAACTGTCAAGTGAGCCGGTATCTATATAGAATACTACGCATCTGCACCGCTTCCAGTGCGACGTGGTAAGTGTCATCATATTACAAATGTGGTCGATATCGATTCCTTCGAGCCTACCAACGACCTTAAATCCATGAATCGCCCAAGAATTTTCAGAGTTTTGGATAACCAATTAGTCTAAACAGTAAATATTGTCATGATTAAGTAGCAAGAACCTCTGCACATCTTACGGGCAAAAGCACCCACCTCAGCATGCTCCCCCAAATTCTGTACAACAGAGAAGGGTAATAATACAGGCAGCAACCGTGAACCCCAATTCTTCACGGTGCTCTGAGTCCGATACCATCTATCTGTTGTGCGACATACTGAGCACGACGTCGGTGTCAATGGCGTTGGTAAGTACTCTATCATTGTCGCGTTTGTGGACCTCCAACTTATTTGGAATGAACAAGCCGTGCAGATACACATCAGAAAATGTCTCTATTTTTCTGCACCATTGATAGCACAGATAAGATGGCCACGTTCGTCTGACCACGTCCAGAAGATGCAAGGAAAAGTAGAGCGTCAAGAGTCGATGCAGTTTTATCTTTGCCGGTTGCAGGATTGTAGTTGAAAAGGAGGAAAAGGAGGAGCACGAGCAACAACGGCGGCTCAGTTCCACCCCCTTCTGCTGTTGGCTTCATCTGCAATGTCGTCAAATTTTATAGCAAGCTCTTTCGGAAGTAGTTCGACAAGCTGCATGCATATGCATCACCACCCACATCGACCAAGCAGGAAGACTCTTTTTAACTTCCAGCGCTTGATCAGAACGAACTTGCCCGGTCAAGTTGAAATCTTTCCAGTTGGTCAATAGTGATCACCAGATAGATAAAATTACTGCATCACAAGGAAGGCAGTAGAAGCACAGGATTGAAGATTTCGTCCAACCGACCAGGCATATTTGACATGCCAACAGTTGGTAAAGAAGAAGAATACAAGAGCCCAGACGTAAGTAGTGCAACGGCATTGATAATTCAGAACACGCACTTTATATCGTTACCGGAGCATTGAAATCGAACAAATGTTGTCCCCCCTTTCTCCCTTTAACAACTTGAACTTGAACCAGACGAAAGCGAGTTTCGAGCCGCGCATTGAGAGAAAAGAATAGACGCCTCGAGATACCATCATTAAAAAAGGAGATGGCGGCTTCTGTAAAGCGCGGACATAAGGAGTACTCGGCAATCCTGCACAACTGCAGGCCACTCATCGACATTGACAACGTTCGATAAGGTGACAATCGATCAGCCAACCCTCAAGAGCAATAGTCTTGGTACTCGAACGCGTCCTGAGACAAATTTTTAAGTCACGCAGAGTAACTTTGGATAACATCGCTTTAAGGCTCGTTGAGGCCCTGTAAAATACAACCACCATTGACTGACATGCCTTCTATACTATCAACCTCCTATCAACTCAACGTCGCGCATGCTCGACCTGCCTGATCAACTTGTTTTCCCTTGCCATAAATAAACTGCATCCGAAGGAATCAAGTGTTGAAATGATAGTCCACTCAGAAAAGGACGTTGAAGATCCTTACTCCCCGTTTGATTGGCGAGGGCTCGTTGAGGCCGTCGGTTCTTACGGGTAACTAACCATGCGCTTAGTACCTGAGTAAAGAAGGCGGTCAATTAGAGAAACATTTCAGAATCATGGCTCGCACCTGTAGTGGTCGGGCTTGTAGGGCCCTAGAAAAATAATGGATTCAACACACTTCCGAGATAGACACAGGAGTGTACACTCACCATTGACGGGGATGTCGAGGTACTTAGACTGCGCATCGGATAGGGTTGTCAACTTCACGTTCAGCTGCGCCAAATGAGCACGGGCGACCTCCTCATCAAGCTCTTTGGGGAGAATGTGGACACCGAGAGGGAACTTTTCAGGAGTAGTCCACAGAGCAATCTGAGCAAGAGTCTGGTTCGCGAATGAGCAAGACATGACAAAGGACGGGTGTCCTGTAGCACATCTGTCAGATGGCACACGTGTATTAGAATACAAAAAATAAAACATAATTGCAAAGCATTCGTACCCCAGGTTGACGAGACGACCTTCAGCAAGGAGAATGATGTGACGTCCAGAGGGCATTGTGAAACGGTCGACTTGAGGCTTGACATTGACAACCGACTGCGCGTTAGACTTCAACCAGGCCACATCAATTTCGACATCGAAATGACCGATGCTAAATGGAGCATCAATAAAATGACAGGCCGAACATATGGAGGAGTGTTACTGACTTGCAAACGATGGCATCTTCAGGCATCACTGGGAAGTGAGCAGATGTAATGATATCCCTGTTTCCAGTAGTGGTGACGAACACGTTGCCCCTAGGAGCGGCTTCCTCCATGGTGGTAACTTCGTACCCAGCCATGGCAGCCTGCAAGGCATTGATGGGATCAATTTCGGTGATCAGGACGCGAGCACCATAGGACCTCAAAGACTCGGCACACTAAACATAGCGTGAGGAGAAACTTGGGCTGTAGCAACGAACCACTTACGCCTTTTCCGACGTCTCCGAAACCAGCAACGACGGCGACTTTGCCAGCCAGCATGACGTCCGTCGCACGTTTGATCCCATCGACTAAGGATTCACGACATCCGTAAAGGTTGTCGAATTTAGACTTGGTGACAGAGTCGTTCACATTGATAGCTGGGACTTTGAGTTTACCTTCACGGAACGCCTTGTAAAGGTGGTGAACACCGGTGGTGGTTTCTTCAGAGACGCCACGGATACCTATACTTGAAATATGAGAATACGCTGACGGGGTATATCAAAGACAATGGACCTTTGAGATACTGCGGATACTTCTCGTGGACGATGCTGGTGAGGTCACCACCATCATCAAGGATCATGTTCAGAGGCTGTCCACCAGGGAAGGCAGCAAGAGTTTGTTCGATACACCAATTGTACTCTTCCTCGGTTTCACCTTTCCAGGCGAAAACAGGTACGCCGGTGGCCGCAATGCTGATGGCATGTCAGGGCCTACATATAGATAGATGAGACGGTTCGACTTACGCGGCAGCGGCATGATCTTGAGTAGAGAAGATGTTCTACAAAGAGCATATGTCAACGGTGTTGTCATCGCGAAAAAAGCATGGATCACAACGTACGCAGGACGACCAGGTAACCTCGGCTCCGAGAGCCTTGAGGGTCTCAATAAGAACGGCAGTTTGGATAGTCCTGAGTCGATAGTAAGATACGGCCTAAGAGGAGAAATGCAAAAGACACACATGTGAAGACATCCTGCGATACGGGCGCCCTTCAAAGGCTGGGAAGGACCGTACTATATACCAATGAAGTGAGATGCTGGCGAACAGCAGAAAACAGGCGATCCAACCTTCTGACGAAGGTACATGAGCCCGGGCATCTCATTCTACGGCCAAACGAAATCAGATCATCAATATCGATGCAGGCGAGATATGTCCAACCTCGGCAATCTCAATCTCTTTGCGCCCAAAGGCAGCGAGAGAAACGTCTGCAACAGCATCAATGGCTGCAGCAATATCGTCGCCATCGCACTCACCAGCAACTTTGAAGACCATGGCAATTGTAGAGGAAATGAAGAAGATCAATGAGATGAAGGGGATGTCGAACGTTTTCTAAAAAATTTAATCGAATTTTGGGGTGTGAGCTGTGACTAACGTGATCTGTCACGTCGGACATTGGTACCATTTACTATTAGGATCTGCATGGAGGACAAACGAAAAGGCTGCCATATTGCTGAAATTGTGCAGCATTCCTGCAAGTCAGGCAGGACCAAGGAGGGCCAGCCAACAGTGGACTGCTCACCCGTCGTTCGTCTCTTTAGAATGTAAGGCCATTTCCGACAAGTTTCATCCTTGCCAACCTCTCCCATACAGATGCGCTGGGAGACTGGCCGTAGAAATCACTAGGGTAGTAACTATTTCCGACCAAGGGGAAGTGATAATACCCAGCAACATCGAGTCAGTCCCATCCCAGGGTCCGTTTCATATCGACAACCGACTGATCTCTCACGTAGTAAAATCCTTCCAAAAGGCAAACCATTCAGCGAGATACATCGCGAACAGGGCGCAGATGATGAAATGTCCGGCTAGATGCTGATTTACGATGGGCACGACTTGGGAAGCGTCACACGAATCGCCATAGCCGGAAAGAATATATCTGCTGTCAATCTAAAGCGTTACCTGAGTCACACCTGTGCTGCTTTATGGTAGGTCCATGCTCTGCAAGGCTTTAGGTTCTTCGATCTGATGATTGAATTAACCAGGATTCCCATGAGGGCCAATGATCCGGTTGGACCTGTCGACAGAGGTTGCGCTAAGCGCCTTAGATCTCCTGAAAATTTCCGAGATATGTCTCGTGTATCCTTGCTGCCAACATTGAAACATTCAGGTCTTCGTCTCGCCGTATGCGATTTTCATAAAGATGCGGATCAGAGTGTTTACTGTTTAAACGTGAAATATGGCAAGACCTTCGGCGTGCACCGATCTGACAAACTGTTTCGCGTTTGCAGGGCCATCTCCGATTCCACCCAACCGGTTTGCGCCTAGACATTCCTCTTAGATACAATCTTTCATGTCTTCTGCAGTACAGACGTTCAAATCGACGGTCGTATGACATTCGCATCAAACAAACAGTCGGCCCGTTCTGCCTACCATGTGTCGACCCCAGGCAGAGCACATAATAAGGTGAGCTGCCATGATCCCTTGGATGTAGGGGCGCTTATAAGGTTCGGTTTGCTTTCATTTTGTGAATCGGATGATCAATGCTGAGATCAATCAATTTACAAGATTCTCGCATATACCATGCGAAGCGACGTGATCACTCCGGAGTACAGCCCGTTGCAGGACCATCTTAAGTCGTCAAGTTTTAAGATCTCCTTCACAACCCATGCTTTGATCTCTGTAATTACAGGATTGACCCCATCCATCGTCCAGGCAGCTAACACGGTTTTTAAATCAGTGGCAGTCCGGAGCTCCCGCTGTGTTGGTCTCTATCTTTCTACTTCGTTCATAGTGCCAGTGATTTGCACTGCCTGCTGCCCTTCATGCATAACTCTCAAGCATTACAATGGCTTCCCTATCCGACAGACTCGAGTCTCGATATTAAAGTCGAGCCTCAGACGGAAACGATATTGCTATCCCCTCCCTCTTCACCTTCGTTAACGAACACCACCCTGTCCACCCAGCTTTGTCGTCGGCGTTCCGGCAGCCCAAAAAGACAACGCTCTTACCCTCCTTTGATTACACGTTTCGATAATCGCGTTCATCCTTCGGCAGACCCTAAAATGTCATCACCATATAACGGTCAATGGACAACTCGCGGTGGAAGCGTTGGAAGTGGCAGATCAAGCAATGAACGTTCATCAGATGATGAGCAGCAAATGGCATACTCTGCAGCAAACCATTCAGCCTCGTCCGCGGTAAGGATCTAATGTCAATGCAGGGACACTATTATTGATTGTCATTGCGAGTAGATAGACAGGCCGACGTCTTCAAGCTCCAGCCTCTCCGGTGCGATAGGGGATCCTCGCATCCTTTCTTCAACTTCAAGGTTTTCAGGACCACCTCCAGGGGGGATGAACGAAGCTTTGGTCTGGCCTGCAGGACATTCACAGCCCCGAATGCTTCCATCCCAATCCTCGATGTATACCGGTTTAACATCCCACATACCCTTCTACGATCCAACAGAGGCAGACGTCAGCGCTATGGGTTATCACGACTACCGCAATGAATCATCGCCACTGCCATCATTCACATCACCGCCGTTCGCGGATACATACAGACAGTACGAAACACTTCCGGCGCACTCGCCGTCATCATCAGGTTCAACATCCCCTCAAGAAGAGATACGCAACCTGCGACGAAGAGTCAAGGAGCTCGAGCGTGCTAATGAGCAGGACAAGGAACGTATGCGGATGCTTCAAATGGAGTTGAACAGCAATTCATCACCACGACTATCTACCTCACCGTCCTTCCAAGAGTCATGGAGACTTCGTACAGAGGCCCGTCAACGTCAGTTCTGTTCACTAAATCGTGCTGGCAATGCCCTATGTGCTTGGCATGATTCCCGTCGCGAACGACGCGTACATCCTCCTAGGATGGCTCCTTCAGGATATCTCAATTGTGGCTGTTCATTCGAAGAGGCACTGTTTGAAGAAAGCTTATCGCGGCATGGTGTTGGAAGCTACCTTCCTGGGGAGAACGTGCGGATGGATCCCGCGCTGCGCAATCCCCTGTTGAAGCTGCTACAGGAAAGATATGGATATAGGGATGGTGATTTCGAGCGCGACCCTCGCACAGGTGACTGGATGGCCGGGGACGGACCTGAAAAATGGGAGCAGCAACTTCATTCTGGTATTACGAATCCTCGTCGCCCTCGGGCTGACCACGATCGTCGATGAACGAGATGGGACATGGAACGCTTGATGGCTCTGAAATGATAGAAACATTATTTACTTCTTGCGCGCCCCAATGATCTCATTGCCGCCACTCTACCTGTCGTTTAAGAGGATCATATTTTGTGTATACCGACTAATTAATTACTTATAATATTTTATTCTGTATTCTACCAGTCCTTGTATTGTATCCCGTAGAATTTACTCTGTACTTACGTGTCATGTACCTCACCCTTGTTGCTAGCAGTTGACCGAAGCAGAGTAGGCCCGATGTACGTTTGTTTCAGCGCATCTGATGTTGATATATACATACTCACACGAATGAAACACTTGGCACCACTCAGAAATTTGAGAAAGGCATGAGCTATCGGCGGATCAGTTGCAAAGACCTAGGGACAGGGCCCACAGTGATAAGTTACACCATGAATAGCTCCTAGACCCATGTAGGGCAGTACCATCAAATACTACTATTTTCAAGACCCCGTATGATGCACAGTGTGGATTTGGACGTGAAGTCCCCGAAACACAGTAACTATTAAGGCGGCCTACGAAGGATGCAGAGCCGTGGATTAGGTTACAGAGAGGTACACACCCATTGGGGGGGGTCGTTAGTGTGTGTGTAGCTGCCAGAGGAGATGGATTCTAACAAATGTAATGTAATGATTGCCGGACTCGATCCGGACACAGAGTCTGCAGGGACCGTTCATCACTTATCGAGTTGGCTTGGGACCAAACCGAGTTCATTTTGTATCTTTTGGAAGCCGAAGTGACCAATATGATCGAGGCCCACATTCCTAGAGCGGCATAACGAAAATGGTAGTTCAAACGTTCCAAGGATAATCTCCGGTCCATGAATTTCATTCGGGACCCATGCGCAGTGATAAAAAATCATGCGTATACATAATCCCCGCCCCTCTCAAGAGCCTTGGTGGAGTAGGTTGGATTAGATACCTTGTAGAGGTTAATCAAGATTATACTCACTCGCTTGTACGCCGGGCTAAAAGTGACGCAATGTCGATATGTCGATGAATAGTTGAATTTGAAGTCGAGGTAAATCACGCCTTACCGGGCCTGTACTTTCTGAACGTACTCTGACTTACTCTTCCCTGCTGTTTTGATATGAACTAGACCCTCCAGGGGAAAGATTTTTATGAAATCCGCGGAGGTAGGCCCAATGCCTCCGGCTATACATTTGACTTTACTCAAGTGTTGCTCGACCCGTTTTGTCCGTTAGCTGTGGCGTTGGACAATGAAATCGATTCACCAGCTCAAGATGTTTCGCAAATTCGGGCTCGACTATTCGCTTTTCCAATTGCCCGAACATGAAGCGCATGAAGGGACGAAGGAACCACGGAGAATTCTGAGGTACAAAACTGAAGATCAAACCAATAACAAGGACTGGCATCAGAGAACCTTCCGCGTAGTGCGTGTGTAACGTATAGGGACAGGAGGAATTAAAACATTTTCGCATATGCGCACGGGTAGAAACACTCACAGTATAAATTATTGATGTGCTCAGATTCAGTTGTCGTCCGGAACCGTCCGTGTCCGTATTTTTCAATAAGATATTCTGGTCCTGAAGCATGAGAACTTGGAACGTCGTTCAACAGGATTGAACCAACCGATGATAGCACCACTTCTTCGAGGTTACCTTCGGTGCTATCTTCAGAGAATTGCGATAATATTTCTTGCTTTCATAACGGCTGTCCAGCTCTTCCTGTCATTTCATCAGCAACGAGTGCCCAAAGAGGTCCGAGGCGCCGCTGTGACACACCAAAAGTCATAGTATTCTCTGGGATCGTGAATTATCCAGATGATGCAAGATAATCATTTGTAGCCTGGATGTGGGGGAAGGGAAGGAGTGTTGGGACAACGCATCTGGTGCCAGGCCCAGGGAAAGGTTTGTCCGGAAATTAGCGTATTTTAGGCCCGAAAAATGCGAAATCTTTGTCCGCATTTAGCATATTTGAGGGTACAAAGAACGAAAACCTTGTCTAAGTTAGCATATGTGAGAGGTGTCTGAAGGGACCTGTGGAGCTCTTCTTTATGGGGAACGGATATTGATTCCTATCAAGTGTCCAGGAAGAGAAAACACTTAAGCATGTCAGCTCGGATATCCATGCGACGTCCTGGCAATAATGTTCCTAATATTTAAACATTTCGCTTGAAGGAGTCGGCTCGGACTCTTGGGGAACCGAAGAGTCACACAACACGCGTTGTTTGTCGACGGTAGAGTATGACGTCATTTCGGTCCGGCCCGCCGTCTCTTCTGCTGTATCTACCATGCTGTTCATTCTTGTGCTCTGGACGCTGTCCTTTTTCCCTATTTCCAGTGCCTTTCTGTGATAAAGGAACGAGAGAACTCCTGTAGAGCAGACTCAATCGTTGTTAGCAGGTACTGCAGTTTCTTTTCAAGTAGACCGGAGGCTCACGGTCCCGTAGAGCTGCCTCTAATACCAAACGAGATAGATGGTATATTTCGAACGCAGGGTAGAGTCGCCATATTCTTCACGGAAATATATCTCATCATCAGCGTAAACTCACTTCAAGACGATCAGATTGCTTTCGTCGCGTCGCTGGAAACATCAAGGTGCGGTGCAGTCAGTTGGAAATGGACGAAGATGAACGCGTCGCTTGAAATACGGTTCCCTTTCACACTAACGGCCTGTCAGCCACAATATCCGTGACGCTATGTGAACTCCCAACAGCAAAACACCTGTCACTGTCCCTTGAATGCGCCCCATTCTCGTCCGAAAATGCCCGCTTATATTCCCAAGGATACGATGACCTGCAGGGAAAATGCGTCGAGTGAGCCGGTATTTTATCTGCCCCGTCACGGTGGTGCACACACCGCTGTTCTAGGCATTATCCCGGAGCGCACAATTCTGGTCAAGCTACTCCGGGTATTTAAGAGAAGTTCGTGTGTGATGCGCTCTTCCGGCTGTGAATATGTTCCGAATTCTGCTGGCCCGACTTTGTTTCTCTTTCAGAAGATGGCACGACATCGGTAAGATGCGGTACAAACGGAGATTCATGCGTAGCGACTTCTTTTGCAGACACTGCCAGGGACATTTACCGGAACATTACTCAAGAGAAGGTCGCTCTCTTACGGTATCTATCAAAGCGCCAGCATACGGAGCAAGAGCACATGTCGGCCTGGGAGTCTCACTTATCGGTACTTCCATTTCTTGTTGATGCTTTTTTGGGCTCAATCTGGTGCGACAGAGTTTGCACTGTTTATCCAGGTCCTTTCAAGATGGCATCGATCGTTTGACGGGGACGATGGAAAAGATAGGATTTCCGGGGTTGTGGTATACTCACACTCACCGGCTCGCAGACATCCGAAGTATCTCAAGATGCGATCCAAAATATGAGAATACAGAGCGAGAATAACATTAAAGTCTTATTCCAACAAGTAGTTGATTCAGCCATTGTCCGTCTTCCGTTGATGTTCCCATGCTTCTTAGATCGATGTTACCTTCGCCGACTTGCCTGAACGTGTGAGCGGCTCATAGGTCATCATATTCCTGTACTAACAGTCTCTTAGCACACTGGCTCAATGACATTGCGTTGATGGTCAGGCACACTGTAGCCGCCGAATTAGAAGCTGTGTTTTTGGTCGTTGCTGGTCATCAGCAGCTAAACACGGATCTTTTGGTGTGTTCTCTATGGCAATGAAAAAGCGTTGTGTTATTTGACTACTGATAACGATAGGTCCAAGCCCACTCTCGCTGGACATCAATAGAAACCAACTTTGCTGAGACGCAATATGTATGTTTCTGTTCCATTCCATCTTGCCTCGCGACATTGATGATTGGGTCGAAGGACATTTTACTTCTTACGGAAGCCGGTTCACAGGTCATCAAGGTCCTAGATGAATCGAACAAACGCAACCTGGTTCTTGCAGAAGAACAAGCCGATGCATCACGAACTGCCATTCAACTCGTCGAATCCCTACACCGGATATCGATAGAGACAGACGACGAGCTCCATAGAATGGATTCTTCGATGGTGTCACTTCATCAGAGTCTTCTCCGCGAACAACACTGGGCTAGGGCGGGCCTTGTTAGATTTCTCGAGATCTTTTTGCGAGGTATTGCATGCTCTCCTGTGGCAGTTCCCGAGCTAACCGGCGTGTATGAAGTCGATGCTGAATATCTAGGCTTTCTTGACAGGATTTATGTTTTCTGAATATTGTTCCTGCTCTCTGGTTTGGGCACTCATCTCTTTCACGGCATTGCGTCCTCGTTCATGGTTTATCTTGACAAGCGCCTAAAACGACGTTCTGATATGTTATCTTAAAGCATTCTCGTTGTTCTCTGTCCTTTCCGGAGTTACACATCAAGACTCCTCGGTAGCTTCCAGGACGACAGGTAAGCGCGCGTTTGTTGATGTTAGAAGTGACTTCCCACGGATGTTTAACGTAGCAAGGGCTCACAGCGCCCAACGCTTGTTCCTATATCTCCGCCTCTTCGAGATCAAGGCGCTCCGCCAAGTCGGATGGGTCGTCAGCATGGGTATCTTCTCCGTGTCTCTCGGATCCCGGATCGTCTCTGTCGTCGAGATCTTTACTGAAGACTACAATGGCTGCTCACCAGATAGATGACCCGACGTTCGGACTTTGACGCTTTGATACTCTCTGCAGCGTATCTGGTTCGGTTGCGTCTTGCTCTCTACTAAACACAGAATACCTGTACTATACACTTACCAGCATGTAATCGTTTCAATCAGCAGGGTGTACTATATCATTATGATCCATTGGTGGTTCCTCTTGGACGATTGTTGCGAAACTTGTCACGGCTGTTCTCCAGTACGCCCGTAATGAGAGACATGCGGCTCGCGTAGCGAACAGTAAGATGCCGTGATCCACAGAAAGTAGAAGTCGTGACCCGGGCGTGGACCAGACAGTGGTGGTGGTACACGGCATGCACTGGACCTGCTGGCGAGAGTAATCCCCCAGCGCCTAAATAAAACGATTTATTATTTGAAAGATTACGGCCATGTTTGTGTACTTGATTCTACTCATTTCACTCAAACCGCTGGAAGGAGGGGACGGAAGAGAGGGTTCCAGAAATGGTAATATTTGCCGCCACCCGGCAGGGGAGGTGGCCCAAAAGGGACATGACCTCTTTCTTCCATTTTCCAATTTCTCCTGCGGTCCACGCTGAACGACCAGGACGCAGAAATTGTCCCTTTGACGTGGCCGTACTCGAGATATACACGCCGTTACGGCTGTTCTGACCCTCCCGCTCTCCTTGTTTGTGTCCCCAACGACGGATCCTGTGCTGGCTGCTGACATTCATTTTGCTTCCATTTTACTGATCGATCTTGGATCATTATACGGTCGCGTCGGCGACGAGGAGGTATAATAGAGTACGCGACGGAATTCGAGGGCAGAAGAGGTGCTTAGGGGTCGTATACTGTGAGTCGTGGAGCCTTGCTAGAGGACTGTTGATTCTTATTGTCTTGTACGCGGCAGATATTGACTCGCGGCAGCAAACAACAACATTTCCTTTTGTCAATTGCTGTACTGTAATTGTGAGTAAACAATACTTGCTTTCATGTATTTAAAGCCAACTTGGAAGCTGTCCAGATATCCACGCCTTCACTTCATGTACGCAAATCAGTATCCCCGTGCTACTCATGCTGCCCAAATTCCTGCTGGCTGGCAGCCTCCTTATCAGGGTGCTCCGCCGATTCCTCAAGGCTGGAATGTCAAGCCTAATGATTGGAATCAAGGCCAATGGCAGTTCAATCCCGCTTTCAACCACCACCATCAGCAGCCGTCTCAGCAGTATATTCCCTGGATCCCAAGTCAATCATGGCCTGGGGCACAGCAGCAGCAGCAACAACAACAGAAACACAATCCTTACCAGCGGCCCATCAAACCGCCAAGCGCAGAATATCTGGCTCAACCTGTGAAGGAAAACGCCTTGGACCTAACGGGCATGATTCCCAGGTTCGTTCTATATCCGCTCTTCCCAATTCTTTCATTAATCGCTTCCTCGTTTCTAGGGCACAAGTATACGGCGAAGAGAAAGGCGATGATGATACACCACACACACCATGGATATGGAATCCTCGAGGTCTAGTGGAGAAGGAGGATGACCAAGGCACCATTCAAGCTGAGTTTCGTGATGCGCTCGGCAATCGCTTTCTGCAATCTCGAGGCCCTACACCGACGCGTCGGCGCTCATCCCTTGAATACGAGGCATCGCCTTCCCCCTCACCTCTACGCCTTCAGCGCCATACAAGCACTCGTCAATCATCTGAACCTTCGCCACAGATCTACGCTGCTGCCACTGCGCCGAAGCGAGGGACCTCTGAGCCGTCTGTGACTCAATTTTCGTCATACAGCCAACAGAGCCGACATAGTTCTCCGGAACCACAGCAGCCCCAACAACAGGACCACCGTCCTCTCCAGCCCACGTTCTCAACTAACATTGTTCGCACTCCTGACCATTATAGTAATAGTTCCCCTACACGACCGAACAGTGCCGCTGCCTCCTCCGGTCACAGTGGTAAGAAATCTAGTCGTAGCATCAGTATCGATGCCGAATTGGCTGCCAAGATGGATCGCTTGAACACAGGCCCGGCTCAGCCTCTAGTGCGGCATTCGTCACTGCCGACGCACTCCATATCGTCTTCTTCGTCAACTACTCATGCAAGTGCACAAGTCTACACAGAGGAACCGTCCGCATTGCTGAGCCCGCTTGTCATTAGCCATACTCCAGTCCTGCCTAATCGCCCGCTTGGACGTCATCACACAGCGCCGACACTGAGCTCGATCCCAGAGACTGCGACTCGAGGCGTGACAGAGACATCGTCTCGAAGCGTCCAGCAAATATCTGCTCACAACGCGCCGGAGATGTCGTCCACAGTTCCTTCAGCTGAGAAGAACGCCAGACCTTCGCCACAGAACAACGTGCCTTCGGGCCCTGCGCCTGCCAGCAACGTCATGCCTCGAGGCGTTCCGGAGACATCTCCACCTCACAAAAACGTCACATCCTCGCCACATAGTAACCTTGTTTCTTCATCTCAAAGTAATGCCGTTCCTCGAAACACGCCGGAATCGTCTTCTCGCAACGTTCCAGACGCATCGTCTCGTAGCATTATGCCTTCACCTCATAGCAGGACTTCACCCCGCAGCACAACTGTGCCTTCACCCTATAGTAATGTCATCCCTTCACCTAACAGTAACGTCATACCCTCTCCACACAGCTCCCGTTCCTCCCGGTCTTCTTCTTCCCGGCATCGTATTTCCAGCTCGAGCTCGGGTTCCAGACGAACGTCTCCCTTGATGTCGCACAATCCTCTCCCAGAGCCGCCTCGTGAGTTCCAGTATAGCCTACCTCCGCCAAGGCAGAAGACGCCGCCGAAAACGTACAAGCGCAAGGTCCGCATGGGCTTCTGGAATCGACGGGGAGACCACCTCACTCCAGATGGGCACATCGTTTATGCACCCCCTCATCTTTCTCACCCCTCTGAGCTTAAGGATTATCCGCGTACTAAAGATGGGTTCATGAATCATGACGGGGCTTTTATGAAGCAAAGCCCGAATTGGACCGAGCTACAGGACTCGTTACCTAGGTTTGGGAGGTCACCCGTTAGGCCCTATGAAAGTGTAAGTGGATATCTCCTTGCATTCTGTATGCTTTGTTGCTGATCAGTTCTTTATTCCAGTTCGTAGTATATAACTACTTCTAAATAACTAATTTTCCGACATTTGTATTCATTTAGCACACCATTGGGATTATATATATATAGCATCTAGCTGTTGAAATGACAAATAGCTCAGCGATAATAATATACATCATGCTTCACAACTGCTTTACATACCACGGCATACAAGGTGAGAAGGTTTACAACAGAAAATAATACAACGCCAGACATTGACGCTTGAAACAAAAAAAACAGAACGATAAACATATAAGTAAAAAAAAAGCCTAAAACAGCGGCTCCAAACCAATACCACCATGATCCGTGCGCATATGCTCGTAGATCCCGTCGCCCCTGGGGAAAGTCTTAGAACAGACCCAACACATATGTGTCTGACACCTGGTGCACGTAACATGATTACACCCCTCCGCACGCTCAATCGGAACTTTACATCCAGGACAACTCTTCACATCATGATTCTTCTTCCACTCCTTGAAAGCAGCATCTGTGTCATCAAGGTTCAGACATTCTGAACCATCGTGCTGCTCAACATGACATGTCGAACATATCCGTATCAGACACGATGGGCACTGCAAAACAGTGCCTTTCGTCGCGGAGCGGTAGATCTGGGGACAATCAGGCGTAGGACAGTAGTAGAACTCATTGGGATGAGCGTGCACATGAGCAGAGAAAGCGGAATGCATCACGCTGTCAAATTCGCTCGCACTCAGCAGTTCACGCGCGACCGACAACGGAATCCGCTCCAAACAGGTAGCGCCATTCCCGAGGCACGTCAGAGGGAAGAACCGGTTGTCGATTGCCGCCACCAGGTAATTCTTCAAACACGAACGACAGACGCTGTCGCCGCAACGGAGTGTGAATGGAGCTACCACTTCGTCCAAACAGATGGGACATTCATCGATGCTGACACGGCGGCCGTATCGTTGCCGGTCCTCAGCCTGCTTGACAGCACGTCTCGCCGCGTTCAGCGAATGAACACCACCTCGGACAGTCAAGAGCCGGTCCCACAGATCCACCCTCACATTCTCGTCGCCCAACTCCTGCTTCAACCTGGACAACTCGACGCTCACAAAGAAACCTATGATCTCCCTCGGAATAGACACAACCCGTACCTCTCTCGCACGCAGTTCCTTGATCTTGGATATCAGCTCTCGTCGAACGGCCTCTCGTTTTTCACTCGATCCACGGAGAATGAGACACCGGCGAACAACGTCTGGTATAATCTCTACTCCGGGAGTCTGACGCTGCAGATTCTGTACAAACGCGATTCCAATGGGATATCCAAAATAAGGATCCCAGGCAATTTTGTCCTCTAACTTGACAACCTCCCCTTTGAGAATCTTTTCAAACTCGCCCTTCATCTGGCTGAGCTCCCTAAGACTCTCTGAAGACAGTTTGACCTTGACCCACTGATTCTCAAAGCCGTGGAAGCTGACGATGAGACTCGCTGCCCGAGACATTCGAGACCTCAGAGACTCTTTTAAAGTGAAGATATCGGATCGAAGAGTTGCGTACTTTTCGACAGAGATGCTATAAGTGACACTTTGTACGTGATGGGCGTAAAGAGGTGTCTCCCCTCCCATGCAGATGGGCCGCCGCAGGTGGAGGTGGTTGGCAGCTTGCTGAGCTTCCACAGGAGAGGCGAATCGAAGCCAAGCACGAACGTATCCGTCCACGTAAGGGGGCGGCGGTACGTCGAAGTCGAGAACATTAAAGTGGAAGCTGAGGATTTTCTTAATTCCTGCAATCGCCGCAGGCACCGAATCGTACTTGAGTCGCTCCCACATCAAGTCATCCAGATCACCAAAAGGCTTCATGCCTTTCTTTGTGATATCCGGAGGTAAATTGCGAAAGCGGACCGTGAAGTTCCCGACAGCCGGAAGATCCTCGTGTAGGGTCGCGGTTACAAAGACATCTCGGAAAGGCTTCTTCGCAGCCGCTATAGCCTGCTGCGCTTTCTCGAGTGTCGAAAACCCGCCGTACCCCACAATTGACGGCGCATCCCACTGAACTCGTACAACGGAATCACGGAAGATACCAGGACCACCTGATCCACTGCTGTGCACAGGAAGACGAGCGATGATCGTGGTATCAAAATGCTGAGTCCCATTGAGAGCATTGTACGCATCCCTGGCTTCTTCGTGATTGGTAAAACGTGCCTTTACCACGGATAAAGGCACCAAAGACGAGGGCATCTTGATTTCAGGCTGTCCGTATGGCTTCAGCAGCTGAGTGATGTTCTCAAGAGTTACAGTCGCAGGAAGGTGCTCGAGAAAGAGCCAGGGTGTTTCAAACCCTGTTAAGATGTTCTGCACCTCAAATCCAGCAGCATATCTGACCTTTATATGATCATGGACCGTGAGTAGCCAATTCGCCTGAGGATACCGGGGTGGAGACGATGGGCATTCTTTCTGCGTCGATGCCGGAGGTTGTGGAAGCTAAAATATGATCAGGATAAGTTTATGGCACACGATGAACGTAAACTGACTGGATCTTCGTAGTCAATATCATTATGAATGTAAGAGCAATAGAGACCGCGATGGCAGATGCCTTGAAGCCACCTGCGGCAAACTTCTGAAGACCTTGGTCGTGGATATTTGGCTGGTTCCGGATTAGACACCTCTTCTTCGGCAACTGATTCCTCGGGCTTAGACAAGATTAATGCTGATAGTTCGGCGTGCGGCAAGGAGTACCTACCGGGTCATATTTGAGATCCTCGTGAATGAAAGGACAGTCATAGCCCAAGTCGCACCAGTCACGTTGCCAGCCCCAACAGATTTCGTTGGATTTGGGTCGTGGATGCTTTGGAGTGTGGGCATGGTCAACGTGAAGAAACCGACAACGCGAGCCCCGCCAGCAGACGCTGCGACACCAGTCCCTACATATTCCAGGAGGACAACGCCGTTGCTCCTCATTTGCTGGCTTGACTTCGAATGTGTCCGACGTGCCATCTGAATCTGATGATTCGCGTTGCTGACAAGTACGTTAACAAATCGCGCAAGTCTGTGTTTGTAGAAACCACCAACCCAACTTCCGAAAACAATCTCTTCGCCAGACGACTCACTCACATTCACATCCTGTGGCTGGTAAGCTGATGTGTCCTCTTTCGTTCGGACAAAATTTGGAAACGAGGCTGAGATGCTATCGCTACGAAGTAATGGCGAATGTCGAGTGGTGATCTTGACATTTACTTTGTGGGAGTTATCTTGTCCAGCCGACGACACAACTTGATCAATAGTGACATGACCTGGAGATGAGTGAACCTTTAATTTACCATCCATACTAGCGGCAACATTTATTGATTTCTACGCAAGGAAGTCGGGGTCAGGTATCTGGTGGCAAAGTGCACTTGAATATCTCTTGCTGCATGATTGAACATGGATCTACTTTTGGCAGACTGAACGTGCATCTGCTCCGTTGGTTCGCCAAAAGTAGATGGACGTTCAATCATGCAGCATGAGATATTCAAGTAGTAGGACCCTTACTTTCGGAAGACCAGGAGGAAATTCGGGTTCGAAACGTTGGGGGGAAGGCAATTTCACGGGCAGTGGTGGGTTGTAATCCTCTACATGCTAAGGAGGCGTCATGGCGTAGTCGTCATCGAATATTGGCCAACTTACTTTGTACTCTGAAGGAGATACATGTCGCCGATGACAGCTCGATCCGTATTTGCAGCAGCCTTTAAGGTGACGGTTACAAATCTCGTGGTGTATCGAGAATCGTCTCGTCGAAGTATACTGTTTCGGAGAATATATAGGGCGAGGAACGGAGTGATTGTCGGAAAGTGACGGCAGCTGTTGGTATGCAGGATAATGAATATTGAAGTCCTTCTGGGTAGAAATACACAGTCCCGGGGGATAGAGTGGCTGCTGGGCAAGCCGTGGCAGCTGGTACGGGCCAACAGTGAGTAGATGTCCAACAGCATGAAGGTATATGCGCACAATATTCCTGCCACCAGCTGCTCTCCTATCTTGTTTCACTGCTGCTGAAGCGCCAGTGGGCCCCACGCTTCCTGGGACCTGCATTCGTGATGTTTAAGCTGTCGGTAAGATATTGTTCTCAGGATGCTCGTCGTTTAGTCGAAACCGTACAAGGACTTATGCGAGGGAAAGAAAAATAAGAAAGCGGAAGACAAAAGGGGGATTGTCGCAGTGGTTGGGAGCGCTGTGCTGGGTGATGAAACGAGAAATTGGGGGTTGCCTTTTTAGGCGATCAATAGCACAACGGTCTCACAGGAAGCCGATTCCCCTTCCGTCTCGTACGTCCAGACAAGAAAACATATTTTCCGTCCCTTTCGTAGAGGATACAATCGACAAAGGTAAAATGGTACGTACGTACTCGGGGAAATATAACACGGCTAGGACTACCACCGATGAACACATGGATACCACACTTGGAGAGCACTTTGGTCGGAGAACTACAAAAAAAAGACCATATTCTTTTACGAAGAGAATACTTGATATTAAATGTGCGCCTTTTTAATTAATTTCCCCCCCCTCATATGCTAACAATCACCTAGATTCGGGGACCTGCACCAGTGCCAAAAGAATATCAGCATACCAGCATACCATCATCCCCCTAGCACGTGCGACGTCTGGATGGCCATATGGATACGGCACAATGCGGTACCATGACTATTCGGTAGTTTTCCTCACCCAGGCATGGTGCACTACCAGAGAAGCATAAAAATAGACCTTTAATTGCAGCGAAATCACCTTGCTCCTGCTTCCTTTTCTCATCCCTCACGATGCTCACTGTGATCACTGCCCTTGCTCCTCTCGCTCTGGCCATTCAGCTTCCCATACAGTCTGGATCTGTAGATTTTTATGATCCAAATCTAAATGGTGGATCCATGCTGAACAACGGTGAGCTCGGTATTGACTAAAGATGCGTCGACGCTAACGTCGTGCAGCTGGAGGAGGACTGGGAGAACCACTTAATGTCTGTTATCCTCTTTCGCACCTATAGTGGATCGCGTTCAATCAGTATCTCAGGTCATAATTTCCGGTAAAAGCTCTCCAGAGGTCCTCACGAACGACGGAATCGTAAACTATGCACGGGCGATTGGATTGTATGCTAATTGTCTATTCCCCTGGGTCCTTGTTCTCCTTTCTTAGGTCTTATATTATCAGCTCGGAAGAATGCCTCGGCATCCATCTTGGCGACCCTCAGTCAGCAAATCTTGGGGACGGACACGGCTGGGTGAATCAAACGGTGGGTATATGCGCGTCTTTCCAGTTAAAAGGTGATAATATATCGCATAGATCGAACTGAGAGAGGATTATGGGAACGAGGAGCTTGGGACATGCCTTGAGAGCATCATTGGTGGGAATCATTTTCGGTCCGTTTACCTGCGATTTTCTTCTGTAACCTAGCTGAAAATATTATATGCAGAGTTTATCGTCAAGATGGTCCGAGCGCAATGAGCGGCGCGTTGTTCCTCGCGTGCGCTTTTCTTCCAATATTCTACCCATTCTGACGCGTCTGCCGGTACAGTGTCTCTCGAGAACAAGTTCGTCGTGGTTCCTTTTTCAGTATGATAATGCTGACCCCGATAATAGGATGTAGAAGAAAACCACACAATCGTCCCTGATGGCTACAATATTGGTTTGGAGTCCTCATAACATGCATGTTTTTGGTGGCGTTATCTTTGTCCAGGTCGCGACCAGCTAGTTGGACATGCAATCGGCAAGCACGACTTTGATGGTGTGCATTATAAGACTGTAGCGAAGAATATTACCGGACTGCTTCCTCCTGGTTCAGTAGGGTAAGCTTTCGTTCTATGGCATCCATATGGTGCACTCACAAAACGGGTTTGGTCTGACAGAGTCAACCATGGTATGGAGGTAAATAACCGATAAGTATCACCACCGCTGACCCCACCAGGCATAGCAACCGACGGGCTTACGACCTTGCTCACAGTCCAGACAACAAGGTGAAGCGAAGCTGATGTACTAATGGGAGTCATGGATCGCCGCTGCTTTCACGGGTATTCACGATAATAACGATATTTACCAACAGATACCAATTCCACCTGTAGAGTAGTTGATACGTTGAAATGACGGTAGTTCCAATGAAACGTTACTTCTGCTTGAACGATGCTGTCCCTCAGGCTTCTCAAGTCTTCCAAGCCTACATTGAAGCGTACCTACGGTACTATAAGAAACAAAGGATCATACAAGGACTCAGTACAGGGACATTTGCCGAAGCGTACCACAGTTCATCGAGATGGTCCTTATGCTTTACTGCCAATCACGGACCGGCCGTGTCCGGTCCAATGAACACTATCATCGCGTCACGAGCAGGCAAAAACTTGATATCTCAGGCCACTTATAGTTACCTTGTTTTGACATTCAGACGGCAATAACTACCCGGTGTACAACGAGCAAGTACGAGAGACGACTTGGCGGTGGAAGCATGACAAGTTCGCATACCGGAGCGTTGACTTCCAAAATGCCTTCGCGATGTTGTTTCTCAAAATTCTGTATATAAAGCAATGAGAATTTGTCCGAGCCTACAACCACTCCGACATAGGCGTGTACAAGCCCAGCCCCCGCAAAAACTTCTCAGTCGTCTCCCAGAGCTCTTCAGCAAGACCAGCCTTCGCAACATTCGGGTTCTTGGCCACAATCCTCCCCACGGGCCTGATGTATTGTCCTTTATATTTGTCCGGATCCGCTTTGATGAGAGGGGACGCGGCAGCAAAACAAGACGTATACGCCCTTTGATCAGGCCCGATAAAGAAGATCTTAAAAACGATGGTCGCGAGCCGAGGGTAGGGGGTTCTCCACGCCCGGCCGGTGTCGACACTTCCAGGATGAAGAGAAATACAGGTGATAGGAATCGACTTGGTAGATAGGCGGCGCTGCAACTCGGTGGTATAAATGACGTTCATGAGTTTCGACACTCCTGCCTATAGGAATAAGTCGTTGATGTGCGGTATTATCTATTGACGTACCGTAGCGGCCTGAATCAGGCCAAAACATCTCCTTATATTCGCCATTGAAATCGTCAATGCTTTGGAAACGAATGTCAGGGTTTGCGGATGGGCCATTTATATGTGCATCTGACGCAACGTTGACAAGACGGACATCCGAGTCTGGCATTTTGGACGCCTCTATCATGAGAGGTAAAAGTGTCTGGGTGAAAAGGAAGGTGCTGATATGACTAGGAGATGTTTGAGATAAGGACCATCCAACCGAGCGTCTACTCACTTTGTCATTACAACTTCGGAGACACCTGAAATACGCGTAAATATAAGAACGCGAAGATGAAAATGTACGTACCATCCTGGTCGGCGTTGTAAGGACCGGTCAAACTGTAGAATGTTAGGTAACTTCGTCCCTACAAGCAATACGAAATACACACAAAGCCGCGTTGTTGACTATCACAACGTCAGCTTAGTGCTGGCTGTAGAGAGACAGCACGACTCACTGAGAACATCCAGCCTCTTCTCTCTACTCAAAAAGTCCTCTGCAGCTTTCTTGGCCAGTCTCGGGTCCTTCAGGTCGAACGGGAGCCAGATGACTTCCCCTGAACCAATACCCGCCTCCGTAATGCTCTTGATCGCGTCCAAAGCCTTGGTTTCATTTCTTGCAGCAAGATATATCTTGGCGCCTTTCCTTGCGAGATGTAAAACGGTCCAATAACCGATTCCTGTACTACGAATATCCTCAGCTTCCGGATGTCGAGAGAGTTTAGTACAACTCACTTTCCACCGGTAACAATGACCACTTTTCCCGTCAGGTCAAGCAAAGATGCACCAGCAGGATAGAAAGTCCACCTATCCACGATACCATGGATGATATCCATGGTAATAACGGCCCAGGAAGGTTATCCAAGTGAAGTGACCAAACTGTAGTGTAGTAAAGACTGAAGTCAAGGTTGTGGAACCTGCTAAGACTTACAATACGACATGCCCTATATAGCCTGCTCCTAGCATACTCCATTAGTGTAATAGAATGCATGAAGCATACCGTCCGCAGCGACAGACACTGCAGCTGAGTCACTGTACGAAGCCAAGTACACTTGCAGAAATTTCAAAACGCCGCATTATGCCGAAGAGCCCGAGAAATAGTCTGGTAAACCAGACTCAACGATCCGTATGAAGATAAGTCGTTCAACGGATACCCGGGAAATTTCTTCTGCATCAAGACGAAAAATGTTAGTGTAACAGAGCATCTTAGTTTGCTATACTAGCACCCAGCATTCCAAGACACTGTTTCACGCGTTCTTCAAGCAAATCTCGCGCCGACTTGCGCAGTTCTTGGATGGTCGAGTCACGTCCTAAGTTTCCTATTCTTCCTTCTCATCCCCTAGCGCAGTAGTATCAAAGCCAACTGCGAGAAGCTGCGCCGTGTCAGTACGGGTGAAAAGGATGCACCATGCCTATTAGTATAATGTTCTCCCTAGCACCACAATTAGTATTTGGTATGTTGGTATGTCAAAAACAGCGGTATCAGCAATAATGATCGGCCTACGCAGTGGCTGTGGTTCGTCACCACACAGCCACCACCCTTATTTAAATTTCTGTCTCATACTTCGACGTCGCTGCACTATGGAGGCCCTACGACTGCAGAAAAGGTATCCCGAAGTCTCGAGAGATGAGATGTTGAATCTCATTAACCGATTCAAGTGAGTGCGCAGTAGAAGAGCACGACGTTCTCGCTGACAACAACATACAAGCTCGATATCCACCGACTCACCAGGCCGTGTCGACAAGACCGCCGTTCTTCAAGCTCTGCAAAGCTCCGGTGAAAGCTATGATCAGGCTAGAGAAACGCTCAAGCACGTTAGCGTCGATGCGAGTGGCAAAGTCGAGCTAGAGGACTGGGTTGAGGTGCGTACTTGGTGGACTTTCATGCAGACAACGATTCAGTATCCTCTACAGCTCAATGTTAAACTACACTCGCAAGCAGCGACGGGAGGTGGTATCAAGACAACAAAGGGCAAGATGACCGTGCAAGGAAGCAATGCAAACGTCAGCCATACCATCAATGAAGATGAGAGGCGCGAATTTACGAATCATATCAACATGGTATGCTTTGTGGTCTCTCGAAACTGACTGTATCCTCAAAATCTTGTAGGTTCTTGAGAACGACCCTGATATTTCAGGCCGATACCCCATTCCTACTGATACGATGCAGCTCTTCGACGAGTGCAAAGACGGACTCGTGCTCTGCAAACTGATCAACGATTCAGTTCCGGATACCATCGATACGCGTGTCCTCAATAAACCGACAGCGAGGAAGCCGCTGAATGCGTTTCAGATGACGGAGAATAACAATATCGTGATTACCAGTGCCAAGGCCATTGGGTGCTCCGTGGTGAACATTGGGAGCGCCGATATCCAGGAGGGCAGGGAGCATCTTATTTTGGGGCTGATTTGGCAAGTTATTCGGAGGGGTTTATTAAGCGGTGTGGATTTGAGGATCCATCCAGAGCTTGGGAGGCTATGTGAAGAGGGTGAGACCATCGAGGATCTATTGAGGCTCACCCCGGACCAGATTCTGGTGCGATGGTTTAATTATCATCTCAAGAAGGCCGGATGGCATAGGCGGGTCAACAACTTTAGCAGGGATGTCAATGACGCAGAGAATTATACCGTGCTCCTCAATCAGCTCGTGCCGACAGAATGCTCTTTGTCTCCGCTGCAAGCATCAGATCTTCGAACGCGCGCGGAGCAAGTCCTGACGAATGCAGACAAGATCGGCTGCCGCAAATACCTTACACCTTCCTCGCTCATTGCAGGCAACCCTCGTTTGAACTTGGCCTTTGTTGCCAATTTGTTCAATACCCATCCTGGATTGGACCCGCTTACGGAGGTCGAGAAGACGGATTACGGCGCCGTAGAGGACTTTGATGCAGAGGGCGAACGTGAAGCTCGTGTCTTCACATTATGGCTGAATTCGTTAGGCGTTGAGCCAGGCGTGTTCAACCTCGTCGAGGATCTGAGGGACGGACTTGTCATTCTTCAAGCGTTCGACAAGATCAACCCTGGTGTAGTTGTTTGGAGAAGGGTGTCAAAACCCAAGGAAGGAAAGGGCGCAAACCTGGGCGCTTATGTATCCGGCGGGGACATTGGGGAGGAAGACGAAGATGTCGGGATGCAGTCCAAGGGCATGGGTGTGAGCCGTTTCAAGGCTGTAGAGAACACAAACTATGCCGTCGATCTCGCCAGGGGCAGCGGCTTGCATATGGTCGGTATCCAAGGTGCAGATATCGTCGACGGGAACAAGACATTGGTCCTCGGTTTGGTCTGGCAGCTGATGAGGTTTGTGCTTCCCATGTAATTTTCTCTTACTATACTTATCCTCCACAGGCTGAGTATCACCAAGACGCTAACGTCTTTGAGCAAATCTACTGGCGGCCGACCTATTTCAGATACCGAGATACTCAAATGGGCCAACACTACTGCCGCCAAGGCAGTGAATCCTGTTGCTCGGACAAGAACCATTAGGTCGTTCAAGGATCCGTCTATTTCGACAGGCTTGTTCTTCCTCGACTTGCTAGATGCCATCCGGCCAGGAACTGTTGACCCGGCATTGGTAATTGCAGTCGATGTGACCGGCGAATACGAAGACCGAAGGCAGAATGCAAAATTGGCGATATCAATTGCTAGGAAGATGAATGCGCTGATCTTCTTAGTACCCGAAGATATTGTGGATATTCGACCGAAGCTGGTGAGTATACATCGTGCTTGTCTCTTTCACTCGTTGCTGACGTCGGTGTAGATTATGACATTTGTGGGTAGTCTGATGAGCATCGCAAATGGACAGTGATGTGGGATTTTCTTCTGTACGATGTGATGTAATGCAGGATAAACTTGAAGTGTATCAGTATCTACTATAAAGTCGAAATACTAGCTGCCTCGTTATCAACGAGGATTGCGGTTAACATGCCTTTTCGGCTGATTGGAGGAGGGTTGGGTGAACCACTTAACGTCCGTTATCCTCTTTGCTATGATGGATCGCGTTCAATCGAAATCTCAGGTTATGTTTTCCGGTAAAAACTCCAGAGGTCTCATGAACGACGGAACCGTAAATCATGCATGGGCGATTGGACTGTATTCTGATTGTCTCCGAAGAATGCCTTGGTATCCATCAGTCGGTGGGCATATGTGCGTCTTTCACCCTTAAAGCGCCACGCGACCCCTCCCTGTATCCCTTCGAGTTTAAAGGTGGCAATATATCGCTAATTGATACCTTGAAATGACTGCAGTTTCGATGAATCATTACTTCGATGCTTTGTGTTCTGCCGCTGCTTTGTTTAGTGCCGCTTTGAAGCCGTCCCTCAGGCTCGTCAAGTCTTCCATGCCTATACTGAAGCGTACCTACATGCTGTAAGGAACAAAGAATATACAAGCACTCAGTACAGGGCCGCTTACCGATGCATAATCAATCCCATTCTCCTGCGCCCAATCAAGTTTATCGTGGAAACCTGCCTCCGCGAACGGTACAGCAAGGGTAAACACCGTACCCAGTGTGATAGCCTTATAACATGGAAACGCATCGAAGAACGCCATTGCGGCAGTATTAGAGATGAAGGTCAAGGTAAGAAGACCTCCATATCCCGGCTTATTAGTGGCTTTAGACCAGCAGCGTTCGTACTGTTCCCGCATCTGATACTTGGGATAGAGCACCTGTTTAATGACAGACCCCTCTTTTGATGACTCCTCGTAGCAAAAGTCGGCTATTGCCTCAGCGTTGTGGTCTATCATGTGTACACGTCGGTTCATATCCCGGGAATTTGCCTCTATACAGACAGCATCTTCGCTGAAGTAGGTGTCTTCGTAGTTGATGTCCATGTAAGCTTTGAATGCTGGATAATGCTTCGATTCGGAGTTGAGAAGAAAGCTAAAGGTCGTGTCTGTTTCAGAATGCTGCTAGAACAGCTAAAATGAATGCACTCACGCACCACCCATCACGTTCGCGAGCCCACTGAAGACTTTGGTGAGGCTGCAGGTCACGATATCCGCGTAGGGAAGCATCTGCACATTGAGAAAGTTGCCCACCGTCTCATCTACGATGAGCGGGAACCCGTACTGGTCTGCGAGCTTTCTCAGATGCGGGACATCAGGGGACCTCAAGAGAGGGTTCGCCGGGAAATCGAAATACAACGCAGAAATTGGGGGGTTGGCTTGGGTTACGCGCATCCTCGAGAGCGAGGAAGGCCTCGAGGTCGTCTATAGAGCCGTTTGAGAAGAAGAGGTACCCAGGTCCCCAGTTTTCTAACACGTCGTGGGTGTGTGAATACAAGAGGCTGTAGATGTTGCCTTAGGAGACAGGACAGTGGAGTATATACGGAAGACATACTTCAACGCAGCGCACTTCGTTCCTTTCGATTGAGTATGCAATACCATAAGATGCACATTCCAGATAGCATTCATGCCTGTGGAGTAGAGATATACGTCGTCCGGTGATGCATAGGGGACACCCCGTATGTTTTCTGGACCTTCGTTGATGATGCCTGAAAATAGCCTTCGGATAAGGGCCTTTGCTTCCGCACCCGAACCTAAGGGTCTATGTACGTTGTAGAACTCTGAATTTCTCCAACTGCGTGGTGCGAGAGGCATAGTCATAGCGCTGATGTCGAGCAATTCTGTTGACAACGCAAAGAGGCAATGTTCAGCCAAGCGGGTGGATATTCCCGTCCCGGTGTACACCCAGAATGACAGAGCTCGAGGCAACGAGGATGATGGAAACAGGACTGCAAAAAGTTCGGGGATTCCATCAGGGAAGAGGAGGGAGATGACAAGATCATGTTTGACGGGTAACTCGAAACGTAAAATACGGGGCCGTGCTGCGTCATCTGCATGCTTTAGGACGTACGCTTGACAGTACTCAGCGACTTTACGAGAAGGGAAAAGCAAGCAGTCTTCGTCCTTTTTGCCATGAACATGAGAGCAGATCTTACCGAGCTAGTATCCGAGTTAGTCAGTGCCAAATGTCGTCAACTGGCGAGTCTACACACCTGCTTGACAAAGGTATGAAGCCTTATGCGCGGATATGCTGTTTTTAAGGTCTTCAGTACCCATTCTTTGTTATCCATATATTCAACGATGTTGGTCCATGTAGGTATGGAGCAAAGGAGTGCATGAGGGCAGTCTGGGGGGACCGCAGTGCCAAGAGGAGCATCACTACCGGTCACTGGTGAGCTGTCGGTATTCATATCGGGTTGGGGAGGAGAAGGGACGAAAAGAAGACCAGAACCGAAGACTGGCGCCGCTTTCCTTTTAGTGTGGGACGTGATATAGTTCCGATAGTATGAATGGACGTATGGTATGTAACGCATGAGTTTCACGATCAAATTTGGAGGTGAATACTAGATGAGGTCCGAGTCCATCGACGGTAAGTAGAAAAAATATCAGCGTACTTTGCTGTCACTGACTTGAATGGCACTAAAGACGGATGACGTAGTGATTCAATGAATAGGTTAAACGTACGCAACCTTAAAAGATTAACCATGTCCGTCAAAATTATCTCCCTACGCATTTCTGCGACTCGTAAGACATTTTGACGGACAACTAATTTCGGGAAGGGGTAGAAGCATATGCAAGCAAACTATACGCCGACATTTTTCAATCAATACGAAGTTACTCTTTGGCATTCCTACAATTACGAGCACTCGAATGGTGAAGAAATTACTTTGAAGATTAGCTTTCTACCCTGCCCGTCGTTCTGATAACAACGATCAACCCTGCATGAACCTGATTCTCAATTGCAGTTGTTAGCATGCGCCTTTGTGTCTGAAAAGGAACCGAGTAAAAATATGCAACGATGTATCCGCTGATATACCGCTTTACGGTCCTCACAGTTTTCCCTCGTTGTCGTCACCATAACACCAAGTCTCTATTATCTATTTTCCCATCAAGTCTGAACAAAAACACAGTGCCTTTCTGAGTTCTCAAATGGGAGATCAATGATTGCTTCGACTCTGCTTGGTGCACTTTGTTGTCATTGTAGATGGCTGGTATTTAACACGTCGAATACTCATTGGACGAACTGTCACATACTCATCGATTCACCTTTTCTCTCCAAGCCCAAACACTGTCACCTAGCTAATCCTATGACCCCAGTGACCTACGAAAAGTAAGCCTTATTCAAATGCAGGCAAGTTATGTGAAGACTAGCCTTTCCCTTAGTGTTATTTGGATGCTCGACAACTACAAACACGATCCTGATATGAGGGGTTACGGAAGACGAACTACTGACTCGCTAGATGGACAGAAGCCCAAGGAATCAAGCACAAAAGAAAAAACCAAGAAATCAAGCTCAAGCTCAGGACAAAAGCCTGAGAAATCGGATCCAGAACGACATTCTCATGACCAGACTCAGGACAGCTTGAAGAGCCTGGTGAATCCACGTCAGAACCGTCACCAACGTGTGTAGAAATTCCACCCTCGCCGTGCTTTGCTGATGCATTTCATATCCGTAGCACCGAGTCCAATGACTCAGATCCGACACACTCTCTCTATGCAAAGCGCTAGAAGCACTCAGGATACCTTCCCCAAGTTGGCCCTCCCATCACCTACGCGCTTCCCTAAATAAAACCCATTCCTTAGCTCCGGACAGTTCAGAGCAGACGACTAGTAGACGCGACACCGCGTGAGCATTCTCTTTATATGGGGTTCGCGTTCTTGAAGCGATCTACTTTTCCAGGACCTCGAAACAAGCTCAAGTACAGTTGCCAGTCGGAGTCTTGCCCCGGCTGCGTGACAGCAGATTATCTTAAGTTTTCTATAGCTTGGACTGACCGATCCGAAGTTTGACCTCTTTACAGCGAGGCAAAACACCTGTTAGGGTATGTAGCCCATCATACTAGAACGGGAGCAATGTGCGTTGATGTCTTACCGATTGATGTTTTTGTTTGGGGGCTTGCTTCCTGGAAATAGTCATTCTCTAGATATCTTTCCCAGTGCTTCATCAACCCCAGGAGACAATGAAAAAACTAAGCAAACCATGAACAAATCTTATGGAAAAAACTGGGCCAAGACGTCTTTATGGACCAAAGAAGAAACCAGTGGAGATGCCAATTCTGCAGACGAGGTCCAGCACGCGTCGAGGTTCCCAGTCAGCGACATACGCGGTACTCTGTGAGCACCATTAGCCGCCAATGAGCACGTATAGGCTGACCGACGATTTACCAGACTGTTCCATCCTAAACTCGATCAATTGGTGCTTAAAGGCCCACCAGATCGCCCGACGGTGTTGGTAGTGGGAATCACTGTTCTGGCAAGGATGAATGAAGGATGAGGAATGAGGATCGCGATGACGGCTATCTTCCAGGTTTACATTTATAGTGACGAGCCAGCTTCTTTCATTATTCATGCTGTGATTCCCGGATGGATGTAATCCACCACGCTAGGTTGGCGCTTCAAACCTGCAGACGTTCCTTATTACGTCCATTTGATCCAACTTCGAGAACTACTTCAAGATGTTTCTTGATCTTGCTCGTGACCTATTTATAAAAAAAAAACCGAGTACCGAGTAAGACAGCAAAACATAATTCGCTAATTTATCCGCCAGCGTAACTCTTGAATGCATTGTTAGGATACCATCGCTCAGGACTTTCGGAAAACATCGAGGTTACTTGCGGAAGATCATAGGTCTCGCACCGGAGCCCTGTGTTTGTTATCAGCTGAGGTAGCCCCAGGGGGGCATTCATCATTCTAACTTGAGCAAAGACCGACGGCGGAACTGAGGTGAAACGGGGTTACGAACCACAGAACCAACATGCGGAAGCCTTGGTTCGGCTTGCGATGATTGTGTCTTCGTCTCGAACCAAAGTGGTTCCCCCTTGTTGTATTATCAATACCACTGGGATCCATTGATTTGTTTTACGTCTTTCCCACCAGCCGGTGGGTCGAAACATGAATGGCATCCAATCATCACCGATCTCTTTCAGTATTGGTTAGCATGGACAAACGAGCTTCTGCATTATAGTCGCCAATCCAATCGCTTTACACAGTATGAATTATCCTTAAACCTGTTGTAGTGTCAGAAGAAGGGCCACAAGATAAGGAACGCGTACATAAGATACGGTCTGACAAATGCTCTGATATCAGAGTCCAAGAAAAGCGTTCCAAATACACCGTGCGACAGATATAGCACTTGACTCTGATATCGCGCGCTGTGAATAGCAAAAGATGCAAGACGGTATGACCTGAAACAGATTGTTTTTTTTTTAAGTCGGGAAGAAATAAAATGTCACATACGATGGTCGTATGTAGGAATATAATGCCTGTAAGCAGCGGAAGTATCTGAACGACCGTTTCTCAGCTTTGAGCAGCTTCAACGACAATTCTTTGGCCCTCATGCCACAAACTCGGTCTGTCGGTGCCCTCTGGTTCCAAGCCACCGACCTCCCACCGAAGCTCGTATCCTTGCATCAGATTACGCAGTGCGATATTCCATGTGATACCAGCAATGGGTGCATCCATGTCCTGCATCTCATCTTCATTGAGTATATGAGCGAGCATAAACGGAACGGGAGAAGACTGGGCACGAAGAAGAGTCGCTTTGGTGAATGTGCTCTCAGAGAGGAGGAGGGCGATGAGTGGACCTGTATTTTGATCATCGTCCGGGAATGGTATTGGAGGTGCAGACTCGGAGTCCTCTGGAGGTATTGACCCGTATCTCCACGCGACACCTTCCATTTCTCGCACATATCGCGGAGAGAATTTCTTCTTTTCTGCCTTGCACTGGGCGACGACGCGCAGTCTGTTTGAAGACGTCCCTGGAGTCGCTGTTGGAAGGCCCCACCAGCCTACAAGGTCGACACCGCCATCATTCTTGCCACCAACGCGTCGAAGGGCCATGCCAAAGACATTTTTAAGGATGGTGAGGGAACGATTCTCAAATGTGGTCCCTCGGAAGACAGTCGATGTGGCCATTGAGAGAAGGGCGGTATTTATTTGGCAAAGCCGTGAGCAAACAACACCGCGTCAGAGGCGGATTCGGTAGGAGCCGGAGACGACCAGCACAAGTGGTCTCCCACCTTGAATCGACAATGAGCTAGTGGGCCTCTTGCTTTGCCCATTGCTGCTGGATACTGACATTGAAATCGACAGCGTTATCTTTGGACGGGCAATCAAAAACGAATATATTGCCCTGGGCACATTCGCTTCAGTTTTCGGCGGCGCATTCCTCGCGACACGGGGCAGGAAAAAAGAAGGTCCTCCGCCGACGCTTGTTGAACAGGTCAAGGCGACTGTGACTTCAGGAGACAGGTGAGCATGCTGGTAACTGCGTGGCTGGACGACTCTGATGATATCGACAGTGAGGAAGAAGAATTGTACGTGCACTGACGCCTCGAGTCGGAAATGGATTGCATGACTGACGACAGATTGAACAGCATCAAGAAATTCGTGGAAGAGGCGGAGAAGGAGGCGGAGAAGGAGGCGAAGCATTAAGAATAATGAGAGCTTGAATACGTTGTCTACCCTTGCCAATCTTATTAGCTAGCAACCCTATCGTTACCTTGTTTGTTACCACCATGTCCTCTACCGTGAATCCCAAGCGTCACTCCTTCAATATCACTCCCGGTGCACGTCCTTTGCATCTCCTCAATGAATCCCAGTCAGAGCCGCCGTCGTCGCCGTCGCCGCCACTGCCTCGCCGCCAGTCGACCATTTATTACAGAGAAATCGAACGGAAGCACCGCGAACCACTGACCTTGACTGAAAAGTGCGCACATACACGTCTGCATCCTGGGCATCAGCTAAATCCATTCAGGCATGCTGATCTCCTCCACTTTATCGCCCAAAAGGAGTCCAAGTGCCTCGAATTACGATCCCAGCTTGCCGTACACGAAGCAGAACTTCTCCAACTCAAGCGCAAGTGGGAGCGGATAGTATCCAGGGGATTCGAGAGGCAGCAGCAGACCTCGTCGCCGTCATCTACATCCTCCTCCTCCTCGTCGGCATCGTCGTCTACCCAAACTCTTGCTACCCCACCTCCGCAGCAGAGCACCCCGACTTCACCATCTCTGCCCCCAGATACGCGTGACTCTGGCGCAACACCACTTATCAATCCAGCTCCCGACTTTTCTTCATGGCTCTCCACCGTCGGAGTCCCAAATTTGCCAAAAAGTTGGGACGTACCGGCCCTCTCCAAGCGGGCGTCGTTGTTAGGGCAGTCAATCGCTCAGGCCCTGGACTTGTCACCACCACCGTCGACTGCTAGACCACTCACAGGGAAGACGGGTCGACATTCACACTCGGCATCGACTCCATCGGCTTCATTACCTTTATCAACCTCCTCGCGCCCATCACCATCGCTGCCGGCAAAGGTCCCTGCGGTGATGTCACATCCCGATTCGTCTTCTACGCCCTCCAGTCCGTCGCCGCCAAGTGCCAATACTCGACTTCCCACGCTGCCTCTGGCGACGACTGAAGAGATGAACCCTACTAAGCCGATGTCGTTGGCGCGCACTCCAGAAGAAGAGGAAGACGATGATGCGTGGAACTGGTAGAATCCAGGCGCTCGGGTTGTAATTATGCCATAATATTGGGCACGCTTTTGGGTTCACGGTTATAAATGTCATTCTTTGGCTTTCGAGGCACGTCACGCATACCACACTCCTTTCTTTTTGCATATACACTTTAACCTACACTGCATATAGCATGTACTTACTAGGCCCCACACTATTAGGAACATAGATTGTTGCTTTAAGTCATATTTGGCTGGACCCTGCCTTTTTCTGATAATCACGGCGCCTCGTACTTTTCTTCTTTTGCATCTAAGAGACTGTCAGGTTGCTTACGTCTTTGTATAGGCCGCCGTCCAGGAATCTTTTTTTCTGTGGTTCTTTCCTGGTTTCGCTCACTTCAAGCGCGTTTGTCCATCTCATTCAGGTTTTGCATGAGCTTTAACAATGCAGACCACATCATGGCCGCTCGTATACACTTGGAACGTCTCATAATCTTCTAACTCGACATGCGGCAAGGATCGCCTATCATAGAATCCTGCTTACCTTCATGAGCAGCGAATTCTTTCAGCAATTGCCCTCGCATCTTTGCTATCATTCTTTCTCAGACACCTCGCAAATCTCCTTCCTTATCTTCCTGCCAACAGATAAAAGCGATTACCGACGTTCGTGCCGGGAAGCCAACCTCACCTCCTACAAGCTTAGGAAGCGAAGCATGCTAACTGGATTTTTGCCAGGCTGACTTGACCCAGCTGACACCCTTTTCATTGCTCAGTAATTCTGGAAACACTCTGTCTATTATTACTGTTCTCTTTTGTTGAACGTCCACCGGGTATGGACAACTTCCTGCGCAAAATTTGTGGAGCTCAAAATTCCTCCGATCCGAACTTCAAAGTGAGACTTTCATGGCAATGACCACATTACCTCCAATTACATTGCTGCTTTCCCTCTGCTGGTTATCGCGAGAGTAGTGCCAAAATCGGAGCTCGCAATGAGCGTATTTGCTTCCGCGGAATCTTTTTCTCCCGTGATATACTGGCTTGATCGTCCAGCCTCTGGACTGCGGCGTATCCTTACCCTGATCTGCCTTCTTCCTTCGCTTGAAATCATATTTCACATTGTCTCACCTAGCGATGGATCCCCAGACGTGGTATTTAGAGCTAGAAAGCCCCAATGAAACAGCACTTCGCTCTTGACCTCTTACCACCATCATAACCTCTTTCATAATGCCTTCCTCTATCTACAACCTTCCCCATCCTGGACCTTCTCCTGCATGCCCTTTGCCTTCTCTCCCTTCTTACGAGGACGATATTTCTATCTATTCTCAAGAGTCCTTCCGCGAAGAAGAGTACGACGACGACGTGTCAATCTACTCGCAAGACTCAGACGATTGTGAGTGGGTCCTTGAAATGGATCCCCTTGATTCGTTTTCAGAGGTCGCACCTCCCGCTGCTGACATGCGCGACGGAAGCTTTGAGTCCTCTGATGATGATGACTCGGCTCCTGCGACTCCTACTTCCGCCGTGGACGAGAGCCTCCCGAAGGGAGCTCACCTCTCGTTCTCTCCTCGCTTCAGCAACAGCAGGAGTCGGAGTCAGAGTCAGAGGGTAACAAGCCCGTCACCGGAGTCGTAGTTGAGAAGAGGCCGACTTCCTTGAAGACGCTCAAGGCCAAACTCCTTCGGAGGATGCGCTCGACCCTGTAAGCGTAGCGCCTGGGTGTAACGGTGTTTCAGCGCCTCTTTACTTTTCTAACACACCGTGATGGTGGGCTCCTGGTGGGGCGGGGTGCAGCGCGTCGATGCGGTCGGTATTATTGTGACGGTGTGTGTAGGGAGTGTTCATGTTCGACGTTGTCTATGAAGCTGAACGCATGTATGTGGATGGGTGCCGACCTGGGATTGGCCGCTCAAGGAGGTTTCGGCGTGGTGCAACCATTTCCCTTTGAGCGGTCGTCCCAAGTTGGGTGTTCGGGGTGAGTGTTATCTTTCTCTGAATCATTCCCATACTGATGTTTGTTTTTCCCCACATTCATGATATATATGGGCCTTTGCCGTAGCGCGGAACGGCGCAATGGTAAAGGCCTGTGGTCATATAGTTAAGGAACACTGGATTATCTCTGTAACTCTTCTCTTAGACATAAGTAGTTCAACGACCTGAATGAGAATTACCAACTCTTTGCGACTGCTAATATTTTGACTCTAAATCCTTCTTGTCTACCTGGGTTCCAACTCAACCAAGCTCAAGCAGTTGGCGGTCATGAAAAGGGACAAACAGTTTCCACGTGACCCATTTAGGGTTCGACCGCGATGAAACCGACCTTCCTGCTGCCTGCTTCCGGCTCCTTTGCACGTTTGGGTGAAGGGATCTTGGAATTCACGAGTTGTCTGGTGCCGCTTTTACAATCACTCAATCCTCCAAAAGGGCTCAAGGCTAGTATCAGCATTGTAGTAATTCCATTTCATGGTGAAAAGTAGGCTTTCCATCCTTTTCAGTGAATAAAAAGACAGAGATTCTAACGAGCATATCTTTCAGTGACATCGGTAATAGATAAATGATGGTATCTTTTCTAAGGCCCGTCTACACCGACTCCATGCACGACTTTGCGGCACACTGTTGAAGTCGGCTTCACTAGATTGTCCCTCCGTTTCGAGTACATTGTTCCGGCCGACATCAGAGATCTAAACTACTTGTTTTGTTTTTTCATTGCGTTCTACTATGACTGCTGGAAGGCCAGGGAACATTCGCACAACGAGAGGAACGATGTAGCGCCGCGACGAGTCATACATGACCTGGCCGTGATGTTGTGCTCCATTGAAGATCTGGATGTTTTCGCGTCTGCGCGGATGCGGGTCCTCTTACTTAAACCTCCGTGAACCCCCAAAACACAATGGAACGGGTAGGCGCAGCAGTTGTTTGAGTCGATGCTGGCTACGAGGACGTTTACATAGCTTCTTCGATTTTCTCTCTGGGATCCTGTCTTCCTACATCGATTTTTCTTGTTTGGAGCGTGTGCTTGGTGCTGCACTGATCCTTGGTGATGTGGGCGGCTTCTATATCAAGGTTTCAGGTCTATAAAGTTCAATGTGATAAGAAAGAATCATGAAACGAGGACCTGGAACTGTGGGCAGCGGGGCAAGGCGTGAGGTACTCTTATATCTACGACCTGCTTCACTACAATATATGAGAGAAGATGAACAGGTTCAGCAGATCCCTCGTTGCTGCATTCTCGAACAGCGTCCCACAGACGGTCCGTCACCATCTTCTTAATCTTGACTTGTTCTAACCCCCTACAGAGAAGCAGAAGATGCAGACATACCTCAATGACCCCAATTCAAGCTTTCTTCGCCCGAAACCCAGAGTTCTCTTATGACCAGAGCAAAGAAACAATAGCCCAATTTCACGACATGGCCCGCCAGCTCAAATGGAAAAAGGCAACCAGGTGTGAGGCACTCCGTGACATACAAGCCGCTATGGAACAGCAATTCAAGGAGATATACGGAGGGAGCGTGGACGACCTCCATGCTTGGCAGAGGCTATGTGAGGTAGTCGGCCGACAGGAGATACCGAACGATATTGAGGCGTGCAAAGCGGTATGTTACCTGCAGCGGCACATTACTTCTTTTCATTTAGCCTATCATTTAGGTGATTGAGGGAGTCCATGTGAACATATGGGACCTAGTCGATTATCCCGCGATGAAGGTTCCACCGCCTATGCACGCCACCGAGACCGCACTATCCAAGTATACTCGTTCATCTGGCAAATTCTATCCAAGGAGGGATGCACATGGACTTTTGAAGGTTCTTCTGAGGAACATCCTTAATCCGTCGCGAAAACGGGAAGGAACGGGGAGCGGGGCGGGAAGGCGAGGAGGATCAGAATAGTGGACGTTTGTGTTATCCGGTATAATATATAATTCTGAAAGGCTCTACCTAAGCGTAAATCCCTTGACATATAATGGAAATCTAGAGCTTGACGTATTTACGTCGGTCCTTTAGCGCTTAACACGTGGACGCACTCAAATTTTCTCACTCATGCGCTTGGCTTCCATTGTACCTCAGACCTCAAGTCTCGCTTTCTAGAGCTGGATCTCTGTTCTTACCATGGCCAGTTTTGGTTTCTGTACTTTTTTTTCACTATTTGGCGGCTTCGTAGACTCGAGAATCCAGCGATCTTGAAAAGCGAGGGTGGCTCTCGGACCTTCACTTGGATGCACATACTTTCCCATGCAATGAGGCATAAAGCAACAGGAACCGAGCCGACTGGAATACCATGATGTTGTCTATTTGGGACGTAGTCGGCAGTACGCATCTGACGCTCCAAAAGATATATTTGCTTGACCTTGTACAACATCAGTCCCGCGAGCAAAATCGAGTAGATCTGAGGCATCCGTTGGATACCTGGACTCGCTCTGCCACGCAGCATTTTCTGACGGCCATATGGTACACAGGAGCTCTTCAGCTTTCCGCAGCCTGAGATGGTTGGGCTTCCTCTGCTGAACGGCCTTGCTCGTTATTCATACGATGATTCATGTTCAAAGTGGCTCGAATTGGATGATTAAGGAGAGTATGCGTGCGTTTTGTAAGGTTTTCAAGGCTTGGGTGGAAGAATATTTTTGCAAGCGTTCTTTGAAGCCGCACGCATACTTTCTTTGATGTTCTCTCCGGGAACCTTTAAACCAGAATATATGCCTTTCATTGTTTCAGGATGTTTGCGAGTCAGCGAAGCATGTGGTGAGGAGTCAGTGGAATGCCGAACACATATTGATTTCATGCGCCGTGTGGTGTGAAAACGAAGAAATGTCAATGGGCCTTGTGACCCCGAGACGAATCACATCGAGGGAAAGGTCGCCAGCCAAGGTCCTGTATCTTCTACCAGCATGCCGCCGAGGGTCTGTGTCCTTTTTAAAAAATCTATATCATCCTAATGCTCTCAATAGAGAAAGAGAACAAGGACTAGGGCTGCGAATTCAGCGGGAGTAGCAACTGTGACACCCATCCAGGCGTTCTTCGCCCAATACCCTGCATTTGCATACGATCCTAGCGAGGAAACAATGAAACAATTCTGGAACATGCTGCGTCAATTCGAATGGGGCGGCGTCAATGGTGACAGAGACGTGGCACTTTCTGGAATCCGGGATGCTATTGCCCAGCAGTTCAACGACATCTATGGTGGGAACGCCGAGGATCTGGGTGCGTGGCAGCGACTTTGTGAGATGGTGGGTGAGGGGGACGTACCTACCAATATCAATGCAAGCAGAGCGGTAAGTTCCAACCTGTATCACGACAATGCGTCTTTGTCTCAGTTGCGTGCTTTGTAGGCAATGAAGAGGATATTTGTCAATATATGCGACCTTGTTGATTATCCAGCTACTCAAGTACGACCACCTCTGTTCTCCACCGAGGTTGAACTGGCTGAGTACAGTCGCTCCAATGGCAAGATCTATCCCAGAGACAACGCCTATGCCGGAGGGCTTTTACGGTTCCTATTGAGGAAGATAAAGCATCCGTCGCAGCATCGAGGAGGAAGCACAGGGAGGGGCGGAGGAAGTGGACGAGGAGGAGGAAGGGGGCGAGGAGGAGGAAGGGGGCGAGGAGGAAGAAGGGGCAGAGCGTCGAACTAATGGCTAGTCGAAGTTGCAAAAATTTTTGTGAAGTGTCGAAGAAGTAAGATTTTCTTGATGTACAAACCTGCTACCGCACGGATAGTTTTCTGGATGCCAAAACTTAATGTACATGTGTAAACTTTTCGAATACTAGGGTTTTGAAAAGATGACTGGACTCTGCCGGGGGTGACTAGAAGGTGAGTGCCCGATATGGCGCTTGCACGTGGGAAGCCGCGCAGCCCGCCGGGTACAAGTTTGAAGTTGCTCAGCTACTGTGACACGGGTACTTATGTTACTCGACTCTGATGTTCTTTCGAGTATATTGGAATTCTTTGGTTTCCTTTGTTGCACCATTTACGACTGTACTCTCTGCCTGACTCTGCTTTACGACTACTGACTGCATTCAGTGTACGGTGAATAAACCATCTTGAACCACAGTTTATCTGACACAGAAAGGGCTTGGGAATCTTCGGCCACGCGGGCCAAGGAAAGGTGAAGAAGGTCAGCCGACGTCTCCGTTCTACCTTCTCTACCACCATGCCGTCGAGGGTCTGTTTTCCATTACTTCAATTACTATTATTTGGCTTGATGCAACTTCTTCTAGGGAAACAGAAGACAAAGTGGTGCCCCGTCAATAACGCCAATGCCCATGGAAAATATCTTGACCCAATACCTGGCAGCCTCCTGCAGATACATCCTGCTGGCCCAGTTCATAGAGTTGACACGCAGGTTTTATTTGGGTATTGGAACGCTTAACGCTGCAGTCCAGAACACTGTCAGCACACGGCCACCAACACCCATCGAAGTGTTCTTCGCACGGTTCCCGGAGTATCCATATGACCAGAGAAGAGAGACAATACTTCAGTTTCGGGAAATGTCCAAACAATTTGGCTGGGGTAAATCCGAGAGGCGCAGGGCAATTGATGACCTCCATGATGCTATCGCCCAGCAATTCAACGATATATATGGTGCTGACGTCAAGGACCTTCATGCGTGGCAGAGACTCTGTGGGTTGGTGGGTGGTGGGAACATACCGAACAATATTGAAGCATGCAGAGCGGTACGTTTTTGGCAATCTCTCTCTGCGCTGTCTTAATCTCAAGCCAGGCACATAGGTGATAAGAAGAGTTCATGTGAACATATGCGACTTGGTCGATTACCCGGCAACTACCATACCGCCTCCTGTCTTCTTCACAGAGAGTGCGTTGGCCAGGTATAGTCATGCCTTTGACAAGATCTTTCCAAAGGAGAATGCCTATGCGGGCGGCCTTTTGAAGTTCCTCTTGAGGCACATCTATCCGCCGCATGACCGAAGAATCAGTGGTCGAGGAAGAGAGAGCGGGTAAGGAAGGTAAAGATGATCGGTGAGGTGTATGTAACTCACACAGCAGAGACTTCAATTGTAGGTCCCTGGGGCACTGGACAGGATACTTTACATACTCAAGCTAGTTCTGTGCGGACAATCATCATGAATCAATGTGGCTGATTGTTATTACTTGAATCATTCCCTCTTCAAGCTGAAGTTTACGCTTTCCTCTTAAAGTTGGCTTCCATTAGTTTGGAGTCATCTGGCACGTCGACAACGCCATGCGCAGTGACTGCGTAAGCTTCAAACAAGATGAAGACCTCTTATCTCCCCTTTCGAAGGCTTCCACTGACAGGATACGGGCCAAGCAGATGAAAGGTCGAGACACATGTCTCTCCGTGACATGTTCTAGTCCAACGTTCACTTGTTTCAACACTTTCTGGGTGTGGATGTATGGCCGCTATGGCGGGACCTATGTCGGTTCGGTCGTCGTTCAAGCTCGCTCTCCGCTAGTTACTGATTGCCGGATAGTTGATATGACGATGCGACTGCTCGCTGGGCCTTATGCCCGATCTGAAGTTGCGGATTTGGCCAACACAAAGCGCGTCATGATTAGATTTTCTTTTCATCAGAAGAACGATGGAGTATACTCATGGTTATTACGACGATGTGGGTGTGAACGGGGGCATCCTACCGGTCTGTTAAGCTTATGTCAATACTTGTGTACGCCGGCAGAGCAGTTTGGATCGACACGGCGCAGCAATCGCACTGTGAATCTTAGCGTGTACTATGGAATGGATGTACCATTGGACTTGTTCGAACGAGTGTCTAGGAACGTTGCTCCGACTCTCGAAGCCGAAAATGATTTCAGGTGCAACTATCGGAGATATCTTGGGCACACTGGCAGTTGAAGTCGTTTTCCTATGATTCTGACGGCTGTCGGACACCCATTGACTAACTGATGGTCTCGGCCTGTTCTGATTTGCCTGGCGACCGTCATTTTGGCGTTCAGTTTGCGTTCGTTCCTCTTTCTTCCATGCTATCCTTGTTAATGTTCATACGTAAGTTAATTGATTATTAGGTACGTATTCGTTATGAATTTTCGATCCTGGACCCTGCAAACTGACGAAGGGTGCCAAGATGATATATTTCAGACCAATCCCAGACGGGCGGCGACGTATTTTATGCCTTGTATGGATATCACGTTGGCGCGTATTCGCTTGGCTCACCTGCAACATTTCAGACGCGACTTAACTGCGATCTTACGAGTCTATTTTTCATACGAGATATGCATGTGGTTCATCCAGAATTCGTTTCGTCAAGCCTAAAGCGTCCATTCCAGATATATTTGTTTATTTTGTTTTGTCGATACATGTAACTAATTGATCGGTTACGGTTGCACTCATCAAACAGTCATCAACGGCGATCTTATGCTCTTGTACGCTGTACGCCACTGCGGCCATCCGTTCTACATCCGAAAAAAATAGAAGCCTATAATATAAGTACGGGTGTGACTGCCAGTTTCCTTTACCAACGGCCATGGTGATGTTCTTCCTCTCTGTGCTCGCTGCTGCTGTTGCCGTTACTTGTGTTCATGCTGCTGACTCGGACGTACGTGTAGAAATTCTACCAGCGAAAGGGAAAGAAAGCTGATCGCGTTGTCATGGTTAGATCACGCCGGGACTGTATCAGATCTTCAATCGCAATGTGACCGGAGGTTCGCTAAAATCAGATCGCATGTACCAGACGTTGTATGCATCGACTGTTCCCACCAACACTACGTCTCCACCGGCCACGGCTGTGAGTTGCGCGCTTCCAGTGAGGTACTATCGCCTGAACGTTATTCTTTTCATAGTGGCAAGTTGCACAGAGTGGTTCTGGTTACACTTTTGGCAACTCGAGCTTCTCTGGATCAGCGTCTACTGAAAACTGCGAGGTGGGTGGTAACCCATTTATATGATGCTCTAATCAGCTGAGGGGAAACTAAGGAATCGCCTGTCATCACTGATAACTCTGAGTATGCCACCGCGTTCACAATCGAATCCGTTGGGGATGGATACTATGCTGTAAGTCCCCTCTTCTACATCTGCTTTTGCTCTTACATGTTCTTTTGCAGATCAAGTATCCCGACACCGACCTGCTCTGGACTGTGGCCTCTGCATACGGTGTAAGTAAATTCGATGCTGCATTGTCGACTGAGCTGATGAAACTCAGGCTTCTCCGAACACCGTGACGGTCAAACTGATGCCTACGGATGGGACGTATACTCAGCATTGGAGTTTTGTAGGGTCGGAGACAGTTTGAAGAGAATTGATCTAATCCGATCTGATCTAATCTAATCTTATTGATGACATATCGAGATTTTTCACATGTCAGTGTAGTATTGATACGACAACCCCACAGTAGTGTTTGGCCCAATTGATGCCTTGACCTGCTTACCCCAGCCCGACCTTGTCCTTTCTTGTTTCTTACCATCATTGTTGGTGGCCTCCACCGGAGCATGGCCATCTTCTCCAAGCCTGTACGATGGCCATCTCAACGAACGTCGATTCTCGTGCTCGCTGTCGTCCTCCTACTTCGGTCCAGGTTGACCGAAATCCCCAAGGAAGCTCTGGCGAAACTCCGCGTCGTCGTCAACAGGGAGCACTTGTCCCAGGAAGAACTCTTGCGTGTTCTCCAAGAGGTATATCTCAATGAGGACGACGGCAGCAAGACCCTACTCGTTCCGTATCGTGACCAGGTGTCTAGGGTAAGCCAGGTCTTGTACGATTCCACGTAGAAACTAATTCTTGTTCAGGTCAATGTAAAACCGACACCTAAATCAAAGTTCACATCCGATGCGCCTTACTTTCCTCTTCTACCGCCCTCAGCAAAACCGAATATCGACTTGACCTTCTTCCGTCAGCTACGCGCAATTTTGTTTCGAATAGCTATTCCGTCCCTCCGGTCAAAGGAGGCTTTCATCGTCGCCTTGCACTCCTTCTTCTTAGTCTCGCGAACGGTCCTGAGCATCGCTGTTGCAAGGCTCGATGGGATCATTGTCAGGGATCTAGTACGTGCTATATTGAAAATAGTAGTTTCATCCCTTATCGTTATATTAAGGTTCGGGCGGATGCTAAAGGCTTTCTCAGAGGACTAGTCTTGTGGTTCCTGCTTGCAATACCTAGCACATATACAAACTCCATGGTGACGTTTCTCTCCCTTTTCCAACCCATGTTTCTCATCTGAACAGATCCGGCATCTTCAATCAAAACTCTCACTCAGACTGCGGTCGCGGTTGACACACTACACCAGCGACCTCTACCTCTCCTCGTATCCGGACCTACGGTTCTACCGATCTGGCCTTGAAGGTGTCGATCAGTACATCACTGCTGATGTCGAGTCTTGGGCAGAGGCTCTGTCGGTGTTATACGGAAATGTCCTCAAACCGTCGCTCGACCTTGTCCTATTCACAAGTCAACTTTCCCGATCCCTAGGTGCTCGGGGTACGGTATTGTTATTTTGCAACTATTACGCAACTGTGGCAATCCTCCGTGCTGTGACACCAGCGTTTGGAAAACTCGCTGCTGTCGAAGCCCGGCTCGAAGGCGAGTATCGAGCGGGGATGGGAAGAGTCGAGCGGGAAAGTGAAGAAATCGCGTCAGTCTCACGGTTTGCTTCTTTGGCATCTTGGCCCTGACTTGCCTCGATAGATTCTATGACGGTGGGGCTCGTGAAAGGAACATCCTTACGGCTGCGTACATGCGATTAATTAAGCATGTTAATTCGATTTACAAAGTGGGCACAAGACCTTCTTTCAGAAGTTACCTCTAATCCCTTTTCTGTAGATCCGCATAGCTTATGAATGGACGGAAGACTTTGTCATAAAGTACCTGTGGTCAGCGGCAGGATATGTGCTCATCGCGGTGCCTCTTCTGTACACGCGACGACGGCGACACGCTCAACATGAGAGACCCAACTCTGTGGAGGAAGGAAATGCAGTAGCGAATCGAACAGAAAGTAGGCCAACTTGGATTCCAATTGGTGTCTCAAGGTCTCATTATACCATCACAGGCTATATTTCCAACCGACGTCTTCTCGTTTCCCTAGCTGACGCCGGAGGCAGACTGATGTACGCATACAAAGACTTGTTAGAGTTAGCAGGTCTTACGACGCGACTTTACACTCTTTTTTCAACGCTACATAACCTGCCGCCCCTGCCTGCCGCAGCCAGTGAACTAGATAACACCATTGAACTTTCTCATGTTGATGTTGGAATTCCGTTGACCAACAAGGCGATTCTTGACTCGCCGGAGAAGGAAAAGGAGACTCCACCACTCGTTAAAGATCTGTCTTTGATCTTACGGGAAGGGGAGCATCTCATGATTACTGGGAGTAATGGCGTTGGAAAGACCGCCGTCGCACGCGTCCTAGCTGGTTTGTGGGCGCCGCAAGGTACAAACGATACCCAGATTAAGCGTCCCAAGAACAGTGGAGGCCGCCCGGGCGTGTTTGTGGTACCTCAACGAGCGTATATGGTTACAGGGAGTCTTCTTGACCAGATGATTTACCCACACTCGTATGCGGAATTTTTAGAGTCAGGGAAGACCGAGAAGGATCTGAGGAATATCTTGGAGATGGTGTATCTTGCGTATTTGCCGGAAAGAGAGGGTGGATGGACGACGAGGAAAGAGTGGAGGGATGTATTGAGCGGGGGTGAGAAACAAAGGGTCGGTGACATTTTATGTATGCATAGTTTGGCTGATGCTGACAACTTTCGTAGATGAGTCTAGCTCGCGTCTTCTATCATCAGCCCGAGTTCGCGATTTTGGATGGTATGTACTCTATGTACTGTGGCGAATGATCCTGATGTTGGTGTAGAATGTACTAGCGCCGTGTCTAGTGACGTTGAAGGACGTATGTACGAACATCTCAAGGCGCAAGGTATCACTTTGATCACCATCTCCTTACGGTACGTGTCGTACTCCAGGTTAGCAACCTGATGTTAATGAATCATTTAGTCCATCACTGTCGAAATATCATACGCGATTGCTGACATTGCACGGTGATGGAACAGGTAGTTGGTCTTTGACGCGCGTGGGTACGGCGGAGGAGCGTGTGGGTATTGACAGAGAGATAATCACCTTAGAGAACAAATTGAAGGAAGTTGATGAATGGGAGAAACGGCTGAAAGAACTTGATGCCCTTTTGTCCGTCCAGGAGCCCGCAGAGGATGATAGTGTTGTAATATAATTTTGAATCATGTAACAGTGTACATTGTGGGGTACAAATATGATACAGTTTAATGTGCGTGCAAACGTTACATGGGAACCGAGGATATAAGTTGAAGGGGGGTATACAAGAAAGAAGTTCATGTCAAAACTTCCAGCTTCATACGATCGTAAAACACTCGTGTCGTAGTCTTATCCTGACCACTGGCAGTGGCCTTCATGCGACAGAGTCCCCTGAAAGCGATTTCGAACGAAAAGCGATGGTCTCTGCCGGCTCCGCGATAGCTAACGTAGGGATAGGACGCTCGCAAGCGGGAAATCAGTGCATCGTCTTTGAGCAAATGCATGTCCACAAACGTCGGGAGTGAATTGAAGGCCTTAGAACAAGCTAAGCGTCGTTGCTTGGTCTTTTCATTGTACATACACGTCCTCAACATGCTTTTTGATGATCTCCAAATCTTTCCGATGCTCCTTGACGTTTGTCAAGGTCTGCCACGTCCCGGGAAGATCCATGTCAGGAATGTATGCCTCGTCGTCGTTGCGCGCTAGGTGCTCCAAGCTCTCATGCCCTTTTTAAATGCAACTTCGAGAGCGTCCAATATGCAGTCCATAACAAACTTGTCGGAAAGGATGGGGGGGGGAACAATTTGAAAAGCGAAACGGTGGCCGTCAGAGCCGTCCTTGACACAGGCATAGGAAGCACGAAGAAGAGCGAGCTGCGATTTATCCGTGATATGCCGCAGGTCACCAATCGATGGAAATACGTTGGAATGGTAAAGAAGTTGCCTGAATTCTGGTTTGTTTTTTCTGACCTTCAGCCACTTTACGTGCGTATCGTCCACGTCTTTGGATGATCCAAGACTGCCCTGATACTTGTCCAATGACCATGCATCATTCCACGGCTCGGAAAGATCACTGGGTAGAGCGGCGTACTGGGGCAACATGCGAGCCAGAACCTTCGCCCAGTCCACAATGTTTTCTTGCATGGCTATAATTATGTCTCTCATGGCGTATTTCCCGACGATATGAGACTCATCTACCAGTCTTCTGCGATGTGGCGGGTTGCCCTGGTTCCCGACCACATTTTCAGAACTGCTACTCGACATCTTGGGTAGTTTGGCGCTCTTTTGGACTGCCCTCCACCGAGGCGTTTGCCTCTCCTGGGACATGGCTTGGAGGCAAGAACCCGGCTTCAATCGATACCCAGTCTTTGCAGAATCCATTATTCTGGCAAATCTATTTTGCATTCGATGTCAGTAATAGGGATCAAGGTGATTACGATGTACATGTGACTCACGCTTGTCCTGTGCAGAGCGTGTCTGGATGACTGTATCACCTCGTATACACATAGTCGTCATGGTGAGTCGACATTTTTCCCACTACTGAAGGACAGCTCAATGGGGCAAGGAGACGGTTCTACAACTCTTTGGCTTTGGCATGAGATGGTGCAGAAGCCATTTCTCGACAAAATTCATCAACAGTTTTTCGTGTCCCTTTCGAAAAGATCTTCAAATCCAGGGGGCAGTTCCATGCAATCCTCATGAGCGTTTCGAAAGGTATCCACGAGAGCTCGCGCCCAGATGACCAACATTCGATCGCCATCATAATCACCTACATACATCAGATGAAATGAGTGGAAGCCATTTTACAAACACAATACCAACTAACCTCCTGCAAGATATTGTAATAAAGCAGTAGCTCCTTAAATGGCGCCGACGATGACGTCGACTATATCAGCCAACATTGGGTGCACCACTGCCATAACCTGTTCTGTTTGATCAACGAGTGCAACCAGAAACAGAACGAGTCCACCTTTCGACTATCAGTAGGAATTTTGCATGGCTTACGGGCAATCTGTAGAGTATAACATCTAGCCATCCAATAATTAAGAGTATTAACACTAACCACCACTTCTCCAAGCACAGTGTCGGTTTCTAAACCATCATCTTTGAAGTCGTGTCGCGAGCTTTTAATCTGTATTCCGTTCTCCTTGGGGACGCCATGTGGGTCTTCAGGATCATTATCAGATACAAACAAACATAAGATGTACGTTGACGGAACGCACCAACTATAACTAGTCCAGAACAACTCTGTTCCAGGTCAAAGTTGAACTGCGAAGAAACGGCGTGCATTTCAGCCTTGGCTACACGCCACAACTTCTATCTGGGGAAGTTGCATTGGTCGGGTAGAAAGCCAGATCCAAGAGTTCCATCGCTGTTTCGCCTAAGGGAGTTGGGCATCCGGAATGAGGATCAGGGAACCATGCCCCAGCATCATGATCATCCTCGTCGTCTTTCTTCCTTCTCAGAGGCCGTTTGTGATGCTCCGCAATACGCATCTGCCTAGCTGAATATATACCCTCTACATCCTCGACAGATGCCCAAAGCCTACAGGCTTGTTCAGGCGTCGTGCACGTAGCAAATTCCTGGACAATTTGCTCGAGGATGTCATTGAGGTATACCACAACGGAGACGTCAAGCATGGATACAGTTCCGTCCAAGTTGCTCAAAGACGACCGCAGGCATGCCGTTGTGTTCCAGATTGATGATGATCTCTGCAGAGTCTAGCAGGGGACTGTGTCGATGAAATATAGAGAATGGCCATGGTCAAGTGAAGAGAATCAAGCGGTTCAGTCTTGGGGTAATTGATCTTGATTTGAGATGGACGCCGAAACCATACTTCTGGTCGCTCCTCGGTGGGTGAAGGTCCAGAACACTTAGGCTTGCCCAACCACTCCTTGCTTCGCGCAAGTAGGACCATTCCCTGGAATTGAGGAGCGTCAGATAGGTGCGGCTAAGGACCAGCGGACGTGTGATTCACCTTTGCTCCTCTCAAACGAAACTGAACAGCAGTAGGTATTCTATTGTTGTGCCTTGAAAAAATTTGATGGAGAGGAAGATTGGATATGCCACAGCCGTCCGTCATGTTTGAATTTTTGGCGGAAACTGGCAAATCGGATATTCAGAACCCGATGATCTATTGGACTATGCGCTTACAATGATCATCCTGCTCATGCATGTCTTCTTCCCCAAGACGTGGACCGGGCACAGAAACTGAGAGATAGAGTGCTATACGCGACGCTCATTTCCCTGGGAACTGCACTACGATGAGCATCGAGTAAGAATGAAACAAACATACTTGCCCGATTCTTATTCTCTTGCAGAGGATTAAGTTGATGAATAACCGACACCGAATGATTTAAGGCTCCGCAAGGGCTTCTCAATTTCCCCGCGACGAATGCTTCATTGATCCACACCATGGTAACATGGCCCTCAGAAGCATGCAGTGCCCTAAATACGGCATCCCAAATTACTAGTGGTCTCTTGAACAAATCGACGACTTCGGGGCCACATTGGTCTTCGGTCGCCACGCGAAGGAAGCACCATGAACCGAAACGACGCTTCAAGGAGTTAAACACTTCCAAAATGGGTCTCTCAATGATGATTTTCTTTGAGTCCCAACTATATCGAGCCCGGAACGTGACCTTCCCTCTGTACCGGCCTGGTCATTATTCAGTTCCCTAGACCGGCATATTGGTCTTCAGAAAGACGGCCAGCCTCGAGGTCAAGCTCCGCCAAAGGCGGCTACAATGCGTTACATGGGTGGATGTAGCACAGAAATATTGAGAAAACGTACGGGTCGACCATCGTCATCTGACTCTGTGTCGGGAAGGAACATTGCCCGAGTGTTCGGCGTAGTCTGCTGGTTGGATCCTCTCAGGCGCTGGAGACAATCCTTTTTCTGCCATATTTTCTCCTCTGTCAATTCACCCAACGTCTTCAACCTTGCAAGCCCCATTCGAACGCCAACAGCTATTTTGAACCCGTTGAACCCGTTGACAAGGGAGGGGTGATGCGCCTGGGCGAGAAGAATGTTAGATGAAACAGTATAAGAAAGAAAAAATACTGACCACGATCCACAACTGATCATCCTGTGCACTTTTATCAATTCGCAGCATCTTCGCTGGTCTTTGACCATCCACTAGCGTTCCGGACGAGGATAGATCAATCGTATCACTCGACTTCCTCTTTCCGTTTTCTGCATATTCTTCGGTTACCGGTGCTGTTCCACGAGATCAGTCTTGGCTCAAAGAAAAAGGCGTGAAAGGGTTTTACTTGGCGGGAAAGGCATGTCGTCAAAGTCAGCCCACATCTTCCAGAGGTCAGAGAAGCATTTGAGAATAGCAATGTCAGAGACTGACCTGCTGAGTGCTTGTCAGGACGCCCGTATTAGCGGTGACATGATTATCGCACTTCTGTGGTAACCGTGAAGTCAATATGTCCATTGAAGATAAGATGAAGAGGGCACCTTCGGGGCATTCGTATGGGGTTTCTTGGCATGCCCCTCCTATGAAACGAATTGAAGGGAGACTCTTGGGACTCCGTTGGTGAAAGAATATCGCGATAGCCTTTGAATTTCAAAGATAACCTCAGATAAATACCGGCCCGCACGGCGTTTTGACGTCAAGCAAAATTCGACAGGTCACGGTTCAGAAGACTTTGTGGACAATTCCTGGCTAAGAAGGTAGTGGTCGAAAGGTATCTTTGACGAGCTTGAACTCGAAGCTTGACACTAATGTTTGGAAGATTCTTGAGGCCCACAGTCCTTGTGAAGAAAAAAGATGCATTTTCGGGTCTACCAAAAAAAAAAAAACAATGAGTAAAGGATGATTCGGCGCCAGGTCACAAAATGACAATCAGATCTCCGTTCTTGACCCCCGGCTCAAGCGGTTCCTTCATAGAGAAATATACCAGAATGAGTCGAAAAGTCTGGGGTATCATGGGGATTGTTCAATCTCTCCATAGGGATGTGTGAGTTGGCATCATGTTGGGTGGAAGGGTACTGGTATGAATGCCACTTACCCATAAAAAATAACCCCCACCGCACTCAGGTCAAGGTACTAAGTAGCGTCGCAACGGACCCTGCCAGACTGGGTGACTAGCTAAAGTTGTCTAAATCAAACATACGTCAACACCGCCATTTTCATCAACTCCGTTTCGGATTCCCGACTCGAAATTTGAACCTACACTCTAGGCTTTTCACCAGTGCAAACTATATTATGGACTGGCTCGCGGTACATTTAGCGTATATACGAAGACTGACAGCAAGGCATTGAATATAGCTCGGGCAGTACTCGTCGTGAACACTCGTGATTTGCCCCTGCTACCCTCAATTACCATAACAAAGATACGCAGGCTAAACAGATAAAGCATCCTATACAATCCAACTCTTCTGCTTTGGAATTTCTTGTGCAACCATTCCGCTCCCCTCAATTAGGATCGACGTCCCACCTGGTGTGGTGAACAATATCATATGCCTGCTATTGAGATCAACCCAACTCGTCTCGAATCTGTGCACACGTACGACATATATGAATTCAACGGCGTTCTAGTGAGTACCTGTTTTATTTAAATGATTTGACTTTGAGATTTATTGTACGGGATGTAGTGGATATCCGTATCAGGAGCAATTTCCTTGCTCGCGGCCGTGTTCGCACTCATAGTGCGCTATACCATCGTTCTATTGCACACAGAGTCTTATAATGGCTCAGATTGTTATGCCCAGATCCAAAGGATACAAAGGGACCCACATCCTCGGCTACTTTGTATCCCTTCTCATCTCCAATGTCTTTCAATCATCCGGTACCGTCATGAACGCCAGATGGTTATCATTCAACAATGTCTATCAGACGGACTTTTGTGCTGCCCAAGGTAAACCCGCCGCCACTTCTCGTCACCATCTTACTTACTCTGCCCTGCAGGCGTCATCAAACAAGCCGGAAATGTTGGCCACGCCGTTTGGTCTCTTAGTATTTCAATTCATTTGTTCAACATCCTCTTCCTACGGCAGACATCTAATCGTGCTGCGTTTGTTGCTGTGCTGATACTCGGGTGGGGACTCGTCATTTGCATTGTAATCATCGGCCCCACCACAATACGAGCGTCGCATCCGACTCAGTACCCATATTTCGGCATTTCTGGCAGCTGGTATGTCATTTGTTTAGTATTTATCCGTTCATTGCTCACAGAGTTTGAGGTGCTGGATAACCAGCGCCTATCCCCGGGAACAAAGATTCCTTGAATATTTCTTTGTGAGTTCCTGAGTGCATTCCGTCAAGCGTACGATCTTACTAGAGCAAATAAGGAATACATCTCAGCGGGAACCTCCTTTATTCTGTACACAGCGATACTATTCAGGGTCCGTGGCAACCTCATATTTGTTTCAGGGAGGCCCCGCCTTCGTTTCGTCCCCAGAGGGCAGAGCTGGAAACTCAGCATTCTCCGAGACTTTATTGACTCTTCTATGTTGCGCGTTGTGCACCAAATGGTCTGGCACCCGGTAAACTGTGTGCCTCTTTCAAGGTCCCGAACATTAATGCTAATTTTTCTTGCTCTAGATTGCTTATAGCATGCTCATCGTCCCTATAGGCCTCGCCCGCCTTTCCGAGTTTGCCGGGGCCCACGTCCCCGAATGGGCGGTCCTCTCAACGGCGGTGATATTCAACTTGACAGGTAAGTCTTCCCAAGCTCAACTTGAACGCCGCCAACTCCTTATGTGTAACTCAGGCTTCGTAAAGTCCTGCTCCTTGTCGCAACACGCCGCCTCTTCCCGGACACAAAGTCTCTTCCCGAGTTCAAGCCTCGAAAGACCATTGACTTTTCTATATCCGCATGGAACGGAATAACTCCCTTTACGTTGACGCAATGTACGGCAGCGTCAGCGCAACTCTGTCACTCTCCCCGAGACCCGTTCCCGCCTCCAGCTTGAAGGCTCCTATTCCGTCGGCACCTGCATTTGGCCAAGTCCGTAACTCTGGAACTGCTACAGTCCGTGCTGGGCCGATCCGCGGTGAGCCGCTTTTTCTGCAGTTCACCTCTTCTTAGGAGTCCGTGGAGGCTGACTTGATTCGGTCCCCGTCAACTAGCACTGTGAATTCTCGGACTCCGCTCAGGCCCAAACGTAAACCCGTCAGCCACTGGCACTAAGTATTTATTTAACCGCAATTTTTCTTTTGGCTTCCCACATTTTTCTTGTCTAATACATGTACATTATCCCCGTGTTATTCCGTCTGTAGAGTTTTAAACAATGATATATCAATGAGCTGTCAGTGGTTGCCAGCACTTTGAGATTATCTCCGTGCTATTTTTGAATTGAGCACATAGACTGGCTCTCAATCAGTGAACGCCGTTACCGACGGCTATTAGACTCTGGACATCACTGTCAATGAACTAATTGAAAGGACGTCACTTGTCCATATAAAAGTTGAGTTTACCAGCGCCACAGCGTATTATCTCAATGTCCGTCAAAGCTGGATATGGGCAGGCTCCGGGTGGACCGCGTTAGAAGTCTTTAGACGAGAATTGAAGATATCTGCTAGGTATATTTCGCGGATAGATATTGGTACATATTAGAATATGAAAGGAATAAAGATACCCAGTAACCTAGTCCAACTAAAGTCCCGATAATAGAGTAACGCGGTGTGAGATGATTAGACGGTGTTGGCTCGAACTCGTCCATCTGGCCATCTCATGTTCTCTGAGAAGATCCGCTGCTTCCCATTGCGCTGCCCGCTAATGCGGCTTTTAACCCTCAACTCGCCGCATATTCTCATAAGTTTCCCCATGGCCTCCTTCTTCTTCTCTTCTTCGTCGTCGTCGTCCGAGCTTTCAAGAACGTTGACATCCACACGTTCAAGTCTCTGCCAAAGGCCCTCTCCCCTGCGGCGCAACCATCCCTCTAGCTCCGTACATACATCCACTACGTCTTCCTCGAAGCATTCCATTTCGACACGTTCAATGGGGCTGCCTGCGAAGACCCCAAGCGTTTCAGCTACGTCGTCGACGGGGAAATATTCCCCAATGCGCAGCTTCTTCAAGGACGCCAAGCCTTTGACGCTTGCTGGTTTGACCGGAACGCTTAAGCCGAATTCGCCAACGGTACGGCCCACACGAGCCATGATACGTTCTGTCCATCCTTCCTCGCAGCAGCCCATCAAATCGACACGCTCTAATTGGCAGCACACTTGCTCCGTGTCCCAGCGTGCATCTCCGAGGTGGGTGTCTTTAATGCTGAGGGTGCGCAGCCCAGTGAGTCTGAGCAGACTGGGGAGATTCAAGTCGTTTCCAAAGATGGGATGAGCAGGTATATCACTGTCTCCAACGACAAGAGGGACAGGTGGGTAGACACCAACGAGGTCCGGGGCATGTAGTGTACTTCGTGTAGCACCACTAATAGAAAGATGGTTCAACAGCGGAAGTGATGCAGCAAATGAAACAACAAGGCGTTCACTCCTGGATCGAAGATCAGTGAAACCTACGATTATCATTGAGAAAAAATTTACAATGGCATCATTTCCTCAGGATCCCAATGGCTCAGTACGAGGCTCCTTAAGGAGGGAAGCACACAGGATAGAATATCCGGGTGAAGATACCCTGCATTTCGTACGTCCAGTGCAACCAACCGGAGGCAAGCTTGAAGAAGGGATATTAGACTATTGGTTCGCTCCTTTCTTCCGCTGCGATTGAAATCCTGACGCTTGAGATCGACTTGGATGGACTGGATGTATCTGCAGTAGTCCTTGGGGACGTTTTCGAGGAATTGTTCGAGAGCATCATGAGTATTCAATGTGACTGACTAGAGACAGGTGAGTACGCGTTATGATACGATAAATAGTAGCGCACCTTGAACAAAGACGGAACACAAGCTTCGTAGGTAGTTCTGTCGACGGTGGAGAGAGCTCTGACTTGCTCGTAGTCGAGAACGTCGAGGATGGCGAGGTGCATTTCAGTGGGAAGGTCGTGCCAGGACATGATGGTGGAGAATGAGCAAAAAGCAAAAGACGAGCATGGGCTTTAAAGGTGAATCTCGCATCCTCGTCCGAAGACCACGATGTCCGGTGTTGGTGGAATTGAGCAACTACTCCGATTATTCTCATCATCAATCACGTAACTGGTTGCCGTATTTGCACTTGTTGCCATAGCCAAACATCCAGATTAGGGCCAGCCACCACCCAGCCACTTTGCCATCCTAGTCAGCATCCGTTATGAGTGCATGTCTCTTTACCCATTACTGTAATATTCCCTTCATTTCTTAAAACATTATATTATGTTTCTCACAAATACTGTCAGGGTTCCACATCTCTCTCACCGGAACAGTATGAATCTCCCGAGTTCCGCGACTTGCCTCCCCCACCCCTTGCCCGTTAACATTAAGCGATTACATGCCACGCAGCGAAACTCAATCCTGCAGGGTCGGTGGTGTCCCAGCTTCCTGACCGACCTTCTCCCGATCAGTAAATAGCACTGCTGTTCGGATACCATCTTTGCGGATATGCGCCTTGGAGACTACGACCACAATGTTGGGTAGTAGTGCCCAAAAACAGGCGTCATTTCAGCCGATGTTCCCAAGACTATTACAGAGTCGATGTCGGCGATACCGTTGCTGTACGTCTGGAGCATACTATCCCCCGTACAAGTCACAGTGAGCCGTCCCCACTACAGCTGATTCCATCAGAATCAGTCTGATCAAGGAAACATATATTTAGTTGCACAGTATGTGCGATTCGATCATCCTGGAAAGAAGCAGTGGCTGCCTGATAGAAGACATAGTAGTTGGATATTGTTCGTTCCGACCTTGCAGGACACATCATGATATCCTCTTGCGGATAGTACGATAACGACGAGAGATACTGTACCATCCTTCTGCCAGCGTATAAACTGCGTGACATGCACAGCCTCATTCATTCTCATAGCATCCAATACTTGACTGCCGGTGGACGATACGATGCGAGAAAACATCCTGGAACCCACGGAACACCAGTAGGATGAAATGATGCACCTTCGTAGCTGTTCAACAGCTACAGCACGTAATGGAACACATTCCAGTGCTACCATCCGCTTGCGAGATCGGCGTTTTCGTAAAATAACAATACAAAGTTCGAGGCAACATGATGAAGAGACATATCATCTTTACCGCGCTCTTGTATGATAGAAGTATCAGAGTGAATTGTAGCTGCTGATCTGTCCATTGCCTCAGAAGCAGATCCCTTCGTGATTGCAGGTGGAGTTGATCAAGTCATGATTCAGCTACAAGGCTCTCCCCCCAAATCATGGGGCCAGAAGGTTAGTGATCCTAAAGGGCTTCTGTTATTCATGGTCCTGAGCAATGGCCGTGATCAGGAGCAAGACCGTGCCTTGAGCGTTTCAACGGACGATCCCACATTCGCAAGCCGATAGCTTTCACGCGGTACGGACATCGACTCGGAGTACGTAAGGCCCCAACTGCGATGCCGACGTCTCCTTGCTTAACCGTGATGTTTTCCGTGTCGCACTTGTAGCCGCAGATAACTGAGTTGGCATGGAATCCGCATTCATTGCGGAGACTGTCGCCAATTTCAACTGAAAAGGCACGGACACACCCTACTATCGGTGCTTTGGTAACAGACGTGGCTGTCGGTCCGCCTCCCGCCTATTTCCAAATTCGGCTACGACGCATTTGTTCATTCAAGTCTCGAGCTCCGGTAATCACTTCCAAAGGCAGGGACAGGCACTGAGGCCGACCTCGAGCCCTTTGCTTTCGTCTATGTATCTGCATTTGGCAGGAAAGTGCCTCAAGGTCAGGGCAAAGTCAGGGTGCCACCAGGGTACTAACTAGGAAAGGGCGGTTTCCACCGGGTTTTACAACAGATTCTGGGTAAAAGTTCAAGCTGGAACGTCAGAATGAAAGTGGCCAATGCCTTGACAGAATTGAAGACTTAGCCCCTCTTGGTTACAAAACATTCATACTTAGCTTGAACTTTGAAGACAACAATCAGAGCCTTATGCTTATTCCCTCAAACGCGCTAGTCCTTGGGCAGAGAGATGGACGGATCCGACACCTTTGGCAAATTCAGTTGAATCCACCAAGTTCCTCAGCAGAGCACAAGCCATCCGTCAACTCAAGTTGACTTTGTTTTCTTGTTTTAGAACGTCCCCTTCCGTCCGAAATGTACCGGCTTTGCATAAACTCCGGGTTGAGTACACATCAACGTCGATTATCATTTGCTTGTGTTCATCGCCTGACCTCGAAGCGTTCCCCACCGGAGGGTCAATTACCTCGGAATAGATCATGAATTTGATTATTCAGTGATGTGAACACAAGGCGAAAGATGTTCCCGGTAAAAGTTAATACACGAATGCCGAAAGGCCCAATATTAATAATGTGGCTTATAACAAAACTTGCGCCTACTGTCTGATAATGACAGCAAATAATACCAGTAGAAACTGTTCGATTCAGGTAAAACGGTCCGACAGGTGGTACATGTCAAAGAAAGTCCAGATTCCGACAAGTACGTAGTTTGACCGATCCATGCGGAATTCCACATTCGCTAAAATTTCTTTACAAGAGAGCAGTTACATCTCAAGGATCACCGGAAGCATGCACCAAATGCAAACTACGCTGGGCCGTCTAAATAAGTAAAACAGTTGAATCAACGCAATTGATGAATAGTTAGATAAGTGACATACCAACACCGCCTTGAGTCTTGGATCAGAACGAATGGAGTCTAGCGAGAACGCCTGGATTTGGAGCTTTCTGACTTGACAGCATCGTCAGCAGCATTATGCAGACTCGCCGTCTCTCGGGACTTCAGATGTAGCCTGGACTTGAGGTCCTGAAAAATGTCCTTTACCTTGCAGACTGCTTTTTCGTCAAAAAGTTAGCCTCCGAGCCTGCTTTAAAATCCCGCGATGAGGACCAGGGAGACCAAGGACACACAGCAGGTCCGCCGAAAAGCAAGGCATTTTTGCCTCTTCAGATTTTCTTCTGTTTCCGAGGTCGAGGTGACAGGATTGGCTGATATATAACTGTTGGAATATTCCGAAGGGTTATAGCTCTCGTCCTGAGTGGAAACCCGAGGAAGAACAGCTGACAATAGTATCTTCGGGTCCATTGGACAACCCTCTGACATTCGAATCCTGCGAAGATCCATTGTCATTGACATACGAATTCGTACACGTCAAACTCAGGCTCTGAGAACATGGTCTGATAATGAATAGAGAATACCGATCCTGACTCGGGTATAGGTGGCAAGGTACAAGCGGAAGGGCGCGTTGGACGAGATAGATGGCAAATGGAGGAAGATATTGTGAGAAGAGGTTGTCGGCATTGTTGCATAAGATAGGAATGCTGGAATAAAACTGAGAATGTCTCTTTCCATATGTGGTGCCAAGTATACGTGATGAATAAGAGCCATGTCCATTTCTGGCACCTAGCATAGCAAAGAAAGGAGGAGTGGTGGTAGGTCTGAGGAAGAAAGACTGTGCTCGAGACGCGACAGCTATGCGCCGTCGAGAAATTTTGTTTCCCACACGGGAGAAAACATCCGCGGAATCAGAATGAAGGACATACAAGAACCCAAATCTTCCTATATTGGGTACTTGTAGGGATGAAAGAAGAAGAAGCATGCACATTCAAGCAAGCGAATTTATGTTCCGCAAAAGTGCCTCCAGCTACAAGAAAATGCCGTATGTCGATGAGGCTCGGTCTCATTGAATGTTGCCACTTATGGTTTCTCAACTACGCAACTTGTTCTAGATTCAACATCAGGAACATCAGGGTCTCTGGAAGACGGGTTTGAGGCAGAAAAGAAATGATTGGTTGCGCTCCTGGTAAACGACATGGAAAGCTTGGTACATTTTTTGAAGGAAAGGTCGCGTCCCTGGATGAGCTCTAGGCACCGCAGGCGAAGGAGAACCTTAACGAGAACGTGAGATAGCAGCAGGTCTCCCACATTTAAGTTCCAGCGATACGGCACCGCCGGTGTCTCGAGGTCTTCAAGACTGTCAATTGAGTCAGCACGACTCAGAATTCTGACAAGACTCATACAAGCCATAAATTTTACAAATCCATTCCACCGCTCGTGAAAAGGACGGGCGTTCTAGACCAGACGGCAAGCAACAAACCATAAGAGAACATGGGAGCGCAAGGGATGTCAGATGGGCCACTGTCTGTGGAGAAAAGGTGGTTACGGGTACAGTTTCCGAACATGAAAATGGTAGGAAGACATCTATATGCGGTTGTATGATGCAAAGATCAAGGACCCAGAGAGAAGATTCCACGATGATAGAAAGGTTGCTTGAACAGAAATGTCAGCTTCAACATGAAATACATCCACGCAGCATTAGTTGCACCAAGTAGAGGCAAGGAATATACTTGCAGCAACGTACCGTAACTTTGGCCGGTTGGAGGGTGTGCAGTTGCAAACGTCCTTCGAAAATGGAGAACTAGCCTGCGTCTCTCCTTTTAGACTTTTCATCATCAACAGCGTGGGCACGACAGATGAAACACTGCAGTCCAATGGAGCAGAACCTTCAGACGGTTGCCGCAATTGAGCACGTATCTCAAACGAATCTAGAGACATAGAAATCCTAAGAGTAAAGGAGTGATTGCCAAGGACTCGCAGATATCTGAATGGCAGCAAGCTTTCATCAAGGTGTCAATAGCATAGCTACATACGAGTAACAGTCGCAGGAGCTTTTTTCTGCCCCGATAGTGATTCGTGGGCCGGAGCATTCATGCTAGAATCATAAGAAATTTTCCAGCTTATACTGGGGAATCTCTGTCGCAGCACATATTCAATGAATGTACGGAGTCCGAAAGTCGTCGATGTCAAGTGATGGTGAGTGGTATCGGATATCGGTCCGAGTCCGACCGAACGTGGCTAGCTGACTCCTTTCCGAAAACTTCAACAAATTGTTGAAGGATGGGAAAAAACAAGGTCATGACCCTCTTCACTGTCGCGCAGTGACTTGTTCTCAACTATTTTATAGAACCGAGGTGATAGAGGAGGCGGCGGCGGTCGACAGCAGAAAAAAGATGAATACCGCAGCGACCTCCTCGATAAGTCTGACATGAAAAACGAGCGCTTTTTCGCGTACTACAAGGCCCAGAAAATTGTCCCTGACGATGAATGGGACTTGTTTGTGGAGACATTGCGGCAACATCTGCCCACTACATTCAGGGTTGCTGGCAGTCGGGAGTGCGTACAGTGATTCTCTATCGACTGCCTTATCTGACCAAGTACAGGACGGCCCATACACTTAATTCTATGGTAAAGGACATACATGTGCGAACCCTGAGCAATGTCACCTTCGAGGGCCAGTCAATACCGCCTCCAGTTCAGATCCCCTGGTACGAACATGTCATTATATCGAGCTGTGTGTTCAACATTTAAAAGGTATCCAGAAGGCCTTGCATGGCAGTTTAATGTACCAAAGAAAGTGTTGCGCAAGTCGGCAGAGTTCAAAAAGTTCCACTCATTCCTGGTCGGCGAAACCGAAGTGGTCCGTTGTCTTTGATGTCTAGTTGCCGCTCAGAATTCATTTCAGTACCAGGGAAATATCTCCAGGCAGGAAGCTGTCAGCATGCTACCTCCCCTTTTCCTTGGAGTCGAACCCCATCACCATGTACGTCTATGACCCAAGGTCTATCACACCGTGATTGATTTTCATATCAGGTAATGGATATGTGTGCCGCCCCGGGTTCAAAAACGGCCCAGCTGTTGGAAGCATTACACGCAAATGACACTGTCACTTCGACTTCCATGCCTTCTGGCCTTCTCATAGCCAATGACAGCGATTACAAGCGAACCCACCTGCTTATCCACCAGTCTGCACGTCTACCCAGTCCTGCGCTGATGGTAACTAATATGGACGCATCGAATTATCCTTCAATCAAAATTCCTACTCCTGTAAAGGGAGACACTTCTGCGGGAAGCCCGCCGCGTACGGAGCAGCTGCTATTTGATCGTATCCTCTGCGATGTCCCATGTAGCGGGGACGGAACCATCAGGAAGAATATTGGCATATGGAAAAAATGGCAGCCGCAGGATGGCAATGGGTTGCACAGGTTAGCTATATGCCTCCCTCGCGCGCACCTTAACTCAAATGAAGATTAGTCTACAGCTTCGTATTCTACAGCGGGGGATGAAGCTTCTCAAACCAGACGGTCGGATAGTATATTCGACCTGTTCCCTGAACCCCATTGAGAACGAGGCGGTCGTGGCTTCTGCTCTCAAATCTAATTCCGGTAGGTTCTCGTTGTGAATGCGGTCGATAATCTTATCCTTAGTTTTGTGAGACTTCCATCTTGTTGATGTGTCTTCTCAGTTGCCCGAGTTGAAGCGTCGGCCTGGACTGACAAATTGGAGACCGACATCACACCGCGAAGCTAAAACTACCTACGACACGTACGATGCCTTCTTGTCAGCTGAATCAGCCTCGGAGGCAAAGTTGACGCCAGGGCATTGGCCTCCGCAAGATGTTGAAGAACTGAATCTCCCGCGGAGGTAAGTCTTCTTACACCCGTTTCCCCATAGCTAATCGTCTCGGTCTAAGCATGCGTATATATCCCCACCTTCAAGACTCGGGAGGTTTCTTCATTGCAGTATTAGAACGCAGATCGACGAATAAAACAAAGTCTGAATCTTCTTTTCCCGTCAGGTCCACAATTTTAATTATGCACAGGAAAAGAACGGCAGACAGCGTAGGGGATGTGCCCGAATCGAAAAAGCCGCGACTGGCCGAGGATAGCGCCAAACCTCCTGCCGCGGTCGGAGGAGACGTAGAAGCCATGGCAAGTGACCCGGCACCAATGGACACTGCAGCTGACGAGAAGGGTGAAAACGTGTCCAAAGTCACTTCCGGTGGTGGCGGATCTTTCAAAGAGAACCCTTACACCTTTTTACGCCTCGACGACCCCATTCTTCTATCGTGCATGTACGTGTATAATTTTGTCCCTCGCCTTGACTGAACGAGCTTCTCAGTGAGCGTCTGCACCTCACTTCTGAATTTCCGGCTTCGAATGTCCTCGTCAGAAACCCCGAAGGCGATGCTGTCAGGTCCATGTACCTTACCAATGATATCGTCAAACAGATTGTGCTGCACAATGAGTATGGTCGGATACGTTTGAATGCGGCCGGGACCAAAGTACTTGCTAAGCAAGAAGCTGGCAAGGGCGTGGATGCCCAGTTTAGAATTCTGGGAGAGGGCTTGCCTGTGGTACTGCCTTTCACGGACCCTACCACCATTTTAGGCGGAGATCTGGAAACATTGAAGACGCTGGTGCAATCTTACTATCCTTTATGTTCCTCGTTTGCCGAACCGTTCAAGTCGGTCATTGAAGGGAAACGTGAGTGTTTCAGACTATACAATTCCTTTGTTTTGATGTGACTACAGCTGTGGGGAGCCATATCATACGTTTCCCACCCGAAAAGTCCGAAGGCGCGACGTGAGTTGATTCGGCGCGCATCTGAGCTTTACTGACACATTTTTCCTAGCTTGTTCCACGATGTTGTTCTTCCTGTATGGAAATCCAATGTATCTATCAGTTTAATGATTGACAAGAAGGCAAAAAGGTACGAAGCCGTTAAACATTTTTGCAGCTTGGTCACGTATTTGATCAACAGCGCCTTGAGTCTGCGAATATTCGGAGCAGACATTACGATTGCTGGTCGCGAAGCAACATCTGTTAAAGTATCCAAAGAGGGACCTTCTACCAAAGTGGCTGAATCTCAAGCAAATGTGAAAGAGGAGAGTCCTGAAGACAGCGAGAAAGCAGCTCTGGAAGAGGCAAAGGAAGAGGTAGATAGTTAGAATATGTATATTGCAGTCTTTCGCACGATCTACCTAATCTAATCAGCTTACATCAGCAACTTACGCGTCGCGTCGTCGACGCTGACCGTGCTCTCACCACAACCACGATGAGCGACGAAGTTGTCCTACCCATTCCTAACCTCGCTGTTCCTCAGCACCTTTTTATACTCTCTTCACCATCTCTTTCTCATCTTCATGAGCATTCCAAGCATGCTCTGCTGGAAGCCATCAACGCCGACCAGATGGCTCCATATTATGCCTCTATTTCTCCATCTCTACTTCCACAGGACGTTTCTGTACTGGAAAAGATGCAAGCCGAAAATACCAAAATTCTGACAGAGCTCGATGAGCGGCTGGAGAGTGCAAAGAAGATGGAAGGCGAATCCGAAATCAGTGACGCACTACGTGCTCGGGCAAATTTTCTCACCAAGACTGGAGAACGAGAGAAGGCCGTCGATGCGCAGAAGGTGGCGTTGGAGAAGACACCTGGGCTGGGTAGTCGGATAGATATTGCCCTGACAATTGTCAGAATCGGCTTCTTCTGGTTGGACAGGCCACTGGTTATGTGGGGACTTGATAAAGCAGAGAAGTGAGTATCCTTTCAAACTAAGGTATTTTTTTATCATTCCAACTTGTTTATACAGAATGGTAGAAGAGGGCGGCGACTGGGATCGACGTAACAGGTTAAAGGTCTACAAAGGCCTTCATCTTCTTTCCGTTCGCCAATTCAAGCGGGGTGGCGAGCTCCTTCTTGATGCGCTATCAACATTTACAGCTACGGAACTCTTGAGCTACAATGATTTCGTAGCCCTCACCGTCATCGCTAACACACTGACCCTTGGTCGTGTGGATCTCAAGAAGAAGGTACGGATTACTCTGGATCATTCTGAAAATACCCTCACGCTTTAATCAAAGATAATATCTGCGCCGGAGGTAATACAGCTGCTTCCCGAACAGCCGACACTTGGCGACATCGTCAAGAATCTCTACGAATGCCATTACGACAAGTTCTTCGTCGCCTTGGGTGGGTGTAATATTTTGGAATGTCATTATCGTCCTCCTCTCAATGCCTTTCTACAGCAACTCTTGAGCAAACGCATTTGCTTCCTTCTCGTTTCCTATCGCCACATACGCGGTTCTATGTTCGCGAAATGCGCATTTTGGCATACAATCAGCTCTTGCAGAGTTACAAGAGTTTGACCCTTGAAAGTATGGGTCAAGCTTTCGGTGTCAGGCCTGAATTTATCGACAAGTGAGCAGCCCGTAGTGTGGTGCTTTTCAAGAGGAAGCTGACATCTCTCCAGTGAACTTTCTCATTTCATATCGACAGGGAGATTAAACGCCACGATTGACAAGGTGCATGAGGTGGTGGAAACAACGAGGATGGGATTCAACGGTTCGTATTGAGCTTTTATTAGCCTTTGCTTGGTCTGACGCAATAACAGACTCCATAACACCAGCGTTGAGCTTGAAGAGTACGGCAGTTGAGGTGGTGCTAAAGCAGGGCGATCTGGTTCTAGGAGAGGCCGGTCGACTTAGTAGGGTTCTGTGGTAGCCGGTGTATTCATACCTTGCAATCTTACGACTAGAACATTCTGGAAGCATTTAAGAAGTGGTAATATACGAAGGTAGTGAGCGCCAGCATTTTTGGAAGACTTCCTGGTATATCGCCAGCCAGACCTACGATAAAATCATGAAAAAAGAATAAATTACTAGGGAATTCAATTAGCGCTTCAGATATAAGTGCTTTGAATTCGGGTGCGCATCATTCACTGATCTCTCGCTTGCTAATGGTTTGTAGATTCGCAGTCGACACAGATATATAGCTTGGGTATGCCCAACAGAACGGACAGTCATTGAAGCGGGATTCGTATGTTGCACTTGTCTTCCTTCTTGCAACTCGGGACATCACATTTCCCTCCCGTTAAGGAAGGGCCATACGTATTCATTCCCTGGATTATACGATGTGGATGACTCATTCCACGACTCAGAGAAAAACAGAACTGTCAAACCCCTTTCTCCTAGTCGCCGACAATTTAGGCTGTTACACTCTTCTCAATGCGATACGTTTTGATATATGAGCGCTGTATTCGATTTGGAGATATTGTTTATGTGTTTGTACTCGTGATGATCATGATGAATTCAAAGCCTCCAAACGGGTGCAGGCTAAGATTCATGCCGCTATTGGTTAGCTGATCTTCTTCTGGTTAAGATATGAGGTCGCTGCCATATTCTGAATTGTCCTTCCTGGCACTGTAACGTGAGTTACACACGTCAACGTGTACGTCGTTATTAATGATATTCAGTGCTTCATACAAGCTTCCACAGCACCTAGATCAGTTCCTCAGACTGAAAGGAGTTACCATCTTCTGAGGGAATATCGCCGAGAGGTACTATTTGCACTTTCATTGGATAAGATTGGTAGTAGAAGCGTCAGGCCTTTCGGAAACACATGGGACTTGATTTTGGTGTAATGGCATTAGATGTAATACTATGCAGCTGTATCGTGCTGTGTGAATAGCAGAGCACAAAACAGGTTCTACACAGTGAAGCAAATTCGACAAATAAATTACTACCAGGTCATCCTTGAACCGGTTGTATGATCCTTCCATTCAGTCTCCAAGTAATTTTGCTCTCGATGAAAATTCGACATTGCTTACATTGCCAACTGTGAAGACCGACCGTGACCATGTGTTTTTAAGATGGAGGGTTACCCCTGTAGTTTAGTTTTGTGCATGTGTAAAGAGGCAGTCGGAATTCCTGGATAGCAAGCCTGAGCATGAGAGTAATAAAAGTTTGTAAATGACTCGATCTTTATTTGGAACGATTAGCAAAGCGAGATTCACTATGATCACCGAAATGGCCGGACTAACAGCAGCCACAACCACCCAACAAAGAAGCAATGATGCATTCCTTTAGGCTCTCACGCTCTCTCTCGCTGCCATGGACAACCGCAACCAGCCCTCGACACTGTCGGCCTTGCCCCCAGGTGCAATGGCCCCGACTGTATGCGCTCCTTTGTCTGCATATCCCATCTATTCACGCGACTGCAGACGACCATACACACTCCACGCAACGACAGCCCGCCAGCAACACCTTCTCATCGTTTGCTTGGGCCTGAATACCCTATCTCTAGAGAAAAGTCAGCCTCGTGGACAAATGCGGCCGTTAATTGTGGGTTTCTCGTTTTTCGGTCTTTCATGTATTCATCTATGGTAGACGAGTCTGTCGCTGTTACCAAACCATGGATACCTTACCCTCTAAGAGCCTGGTTCTGGATACCCTTTGTTCTCCTGATGATACTAGGCGCTATTGGCTTAGAAGTCGCCCTTTGTTTCAGCAATAAGAATTCTGGTGCGTGATATCCATACTTTTCTTCGTCTTTCCTGACGACTTATAGGATGGGCGACGAATGACGCTTTCAGCAGTCAGACCGGGGTCCTGCATTATGTCTATGTGCGTTCATTGCTTGAACTCGTTACCATCTGCTCATCAGTTGATACAGACCCTGCCTCCTGTCGCTGTTGCCGCTGTCGTAAGTTGTGTTTTCTCATGTGTTCCATGGTAGTATTGACCTTTCATCCTCCTAGATTGTCGCCCTATGGACATGGACAGACATTGAGATTAAAAAGATGCAACCTTACGTCGATCTCGTCCATGGCGATTCCCCGCCTAAGCGTAGTCTTTTGCTAGACTATACCCGGACAAAGTGCGCCCTACTGCCATCGGAATCATCTACTGACTTGGTTGAATAGCAACTTCTTCGTATGGTCGCGGGCGGCGGCCAATAAACACTATGTCGTTGCCCTCGCGTCTCTTATGGTATTGCTTTCTCTTGCCTTCCAGCCCTTGGCGGCTGCCTTGTTGGTGGTTCGTGACACTTGGTGGGGGTTACCAGGTGCGTTTAGTGTCTGTATCAATACATTGTTGACATACCTTTGTAGATACTACCTTGAACACCCTCGCTGCCATTGGATTGAACCAGAATCAGAATTTTGATGATCTGACTTGTATACGTTTTTCCTTCCCGTCTACCGATCTCACCTTCTCCTAGCATTTTTGACGGCGGCAGGGTTCGCGTCCGCTTCCGTCTTGTATAACTTGGGAAACCCCCCGTTTTTGTTTGATGGATATACTATTGCTCCGTTTCAGGTGTGGTTCTAATTTCTCGCTCGAAGAGCCGTCTTTACCTCGCCTGTAGCTTCCGAGTGATGTTGCGATCAACAGCACCGTTATTTACGCGAATACTACAGCACTCAGGAGCGATCCTGGATGCCAAGCCGCATCCGTGGGTGGTCGTCATTCGATCAAGGTCACCCGGCGATTCATGGCTTTCCAGGTCAATATGGTCCAAAATACAGATGGCAGTGGGTGGAACAACTCTGTAAGCTCAAACGGGTGTAGCATATCGTTCGCCGTTGACCGCAATGCGACGGTCCAGTTCGGCGCGTCAAATTCCCTGTATCATCGTAAAATCATCTTCTCACTATTGATATAGGCACCGATATACCGGTGTGTGATTCGGATGTACCCCCGCAATTCAGCCCAGTGCTGTTCTGGTTCTTCACGTATGCACAATGTTCTTCATTTATGCCCAGGATCTGATGTCTTGGGTTCTAGATATGAACCCGAGCCTGCAGCGTCTGCAACACTCTGCTTCCCTTCACTCACCCTCTGGGACGTCAACATCAACCTCGACTTAGCGAGCGGGAATATCACCCAAGTAACGGAATTGCGTCCTTTCTCTTCTTCGTCTAATTTTTCGTCATTATCTGCGAACGTGACCGGTCCGCCTTTAAACGGGCGTGCGTATAATGGGATCGAGTTTAATTTGACGAATCCGGATAGGTTTGTGATTGCCAGGAGGAACGCGACACAGCTTCAGATGCCGGCTGCAGTGTTTCAGGCTGCTGTCCAAAGCCCAGAGGGTTTGACTGGTTCATTCCAAGCTGATACGTTTGCGAGGCTGTCTTCGAATGTCTATGTAGGTGTCATACCTTGCGTTGGTAACTGGACTGACGGGGTCTCAGAGGACCTATTTGGCCCTTATTGCAAAGACTGTGTACTTCCTAGACGATAATGAACCAATAACGATCCAGATGAAGACGGTGCAGAAAAGGATTTGGTTGAGGTAAGGGCTAGCATTGGCCGGAGTCAAGTGTGCTGAGGATTGGTTTACAGTGACGTTGCTGTCCATCTGCTAGCCATTGCCATGTTCCTGCTTGCATTTTTTGCCACGATTATCCAATTACTACATCGCTACGACCGTCGCAACCTTCGGCTTCTCCATGAGCCGGGAACGATTGCCTCGGCTGTGAGCATCGGTGCACAGACTGGGATGGGTGATCTCCTGGCAGGTCGACAGCACCCCGAAGACATATCGGCAGCTCTGCAGGATAAGAAATTCAGAATCGATCCAAAGACGATGAAGATTGTAATGGAGGGGGAAGATGGATACGAGATTGCGACCAGTCCCGGCATCATGGATAGACGTTGGTCTATGTTTGCTGCGTTGCAGAGTCAGCGAATAAGTAGAAGGCTTTCTTCGAAAGCCCAAGATAGTCCCACGACTCCGAAAGAGTTTTTATCCGAGTAGAGTAGTAGAGGAGTTAATATGATTGGTTTTGACCCCATTGTGGGGTAAGGTGTAACCGCCGGAATTTGATTGGTCCGGCCAACAAGTTTCACGTGATGCGATCATCCGAATTCACGCGATAACTTCTTTCCGCACCAATCCGCCCTCTGTTCGCACCTACGACAACGACGACGGCGATGCAATCCCTGGCACGACGCTTTTCTTCCCAGATCTCTTCCAATGCCCGCTTATTCTCGACGTCGACTGTGGCGTTGCAGGCAACACCCGTGCAGAAGTCCGTGATGAACAAGGAGTTCAAGATATACCGGTGGAACCCAGACGAACCCAGCAAGAAGCCCACCCTCCAGTCGTACACTATCGATCTGAACCAGACGGGACCAATGGTGCTCGATGCTTTGATCAAGATCAAGAACGAGATTGACCCAACGTTGACGTTCAGAAGGTCGTGCAGGGAGGGCATATGCGGGTCCTGTGCGATGAATATCAATGGGCAGAATACGCTTGCGTGCTTGTGCAGGATTGACAGAAACACCTCGAAGGATAGCAAGATTTACCCATTGCCACATAGTGAGTACTGGCCTTTGTACACCATGGAGCGAAGCTGACTGTTCTGTCTCACATAGTGTACATCGTCAAGGACCTGGTACCGGACCTGACGTACTTTTACAAGCAGTACAAGTCGATTCAGCCGTATTTGCAGAACGACAACCCCCCTGAGAAAGGCAGGCGATGATTGCTGGATATGACGTCGAGGCTGACCTTGGTAACAGGCGAGTTCCTCCAGTCGCAGGAGGATAGGAAGAAGCTGGATGGCCTCTACGAGTGTATTCTATGTGCATGCTGCTCGACGTCGTGCCCGTCCTACTGGTGGAACCAAGATGAGTATCTGGGACCCGCGACGTTGATGCAGGCGTACAGATGGATTGCCGATTCTCGGGTAAGTCTCTCTCTGTCAGTATTTGTGTCTGGGCGATTGCTTACTGATTGATTCATGCAGGACTCGTATGGCGAGGCAAGGAAGGAGAAGCTGCAAAATGAGATGAGTTTGTATAGGTGCCATACGATCTTCAACTGCTCGCGGACTTGTCCGAAGGGACTGAATCCTGCTGCTGCGATTGCAAAGATCAAGTTGGAGCTGGCGACAGAGTAGAAAGTTGTATTCGAGTGCACTGTACATTTGGATTTTCAGCGAGATATTATTCGAAATAAGTTATCCAAATATGGATCCGTGTGACCGTATGCCAGCATGCAGCTATAAATAAATACCAACCTCCATCGTCGTCGTCGTCGTCGTCGTCGTTGTCCATCATGAATCGCCAATTAACTATCGTCTCTCTTTTACTTCTCTTTTTTTCTTCTGCTGCCCTTGCCGCCAGCTCTTGCGTCGCATTTGACATCTCTTGGAACCTGCTCGCCTTTGGGCTCGATGGGAAGGACTACAATGCTGGCACGAAGGATTCGTGGGCGTCTGGTCAGTATCGCAGCAGCAGTCCCAAGCTAACATGCTGAATATCGGTATATAGGTAGCGCAAAAAACATTACGACGTCTGGTCGGCCGTGAGTAGCATTCCGCAGCTAGCCAAGAAAATTTCCGTTTACCAATCCGTAACAGACCGTTTGATGGCACCAACACGACTTGCTACCTGTCCCAGGTGAGCGCGCTGCCTTGACTGTCCTGCTCATCATCCTCAACGTTCGCCAGTTCTACAACGCCATTTACGTATTAAATGCTGACTCTTCTAACCCTTCAAATATCTACATTTATAACGCCGCGAGTAGCTCCTGGTCCACCCAAACTGTGACTACCGGCAACTTCGATGTCTCAGATTTTGTCGCTATTCTTGACCATGACACCAACATCTTCTGTATGTTGTGTATTAGCATTCTTCGCCTCATTCGACTCACGCCATTGTTAAGATGCACTTTCCAAAGGAGAGCTCTACTCATTGGATATGGGATCCCTGACCGCCGCCAATTCTACATCGCTCTCCTGGAATGACATCGAAGCCCCTAGCTTCACTACAACTGGTTACAATCCTGTCATGGCCCTCGCCCAAAACCACATACACTTTTTGGACGTCCCAGGAAACGCCGCTGGAACGGCAAACATTTTTGTCATTCACTGTGAGTTGGCACCATTTTTTTGGAATTTATTATTTTTGGCTGCGGAAGGCAGTGTTCTGATGTGATGGTAGATTCGTACTTTCAGCCAGAGGTTCAATCATACGGCAACAACAGCTTCCCTGCATCGCATGGACAGGCGACCTCGTTCTTTATGGACTCGGGCGTAAGTTATCTTCTCTTTTCGTTTCTGTGATGTATTGAATGCGTTGCCGTAGGTCCAAGAAGACTTCGCTTTCATCCCCGATGACGGGTCGGCAACATATGTTGTTAGTGTCGAGGTGGGCCTTTTTAAACCGCGGCAGATCAAAAACACACTGAACAACCTTTGCTAGACGAACACGACGCAGACCCTCGCCGGACCTTCCACTAAGGATTCAGGCGCAACATACTTTGCCTCTACAGATTCTCTTGTTCAGCTAACTTCCGATGGCGCTGTCTCTTACATCTCCTACAGCAACTCGTCAACGGAAGCCAACACGGCTGCAACCTGGAGTACTGTCGCGAACCTTGCATCCGTAGCTCCTGCATCCTCCTCTGCAGCGTCGTCAACCACCTCCAAAACGGGAACCAGCTCGGCCAAGGGTGCAGCATCCACTAGCACAGGTACTGGCAGCAGCAGTAATGGTGCCGAGAGTGCCGGTGTTGCGATAGTGAGCTTGGGAGTGACACTGATGGCTGGCAGCATTGGAATGTTGCTTCTCTAGCTGATCTATTAATCTTTTGACACTCGTACGAATGGACTTGATTGTACGGACGTTTTTTTTGCATATTTTGCATCAGGCAGTGTAGTACATTGATTTAGACGACGTTGCTGATAATTCTAACATACTAGGTCATTGGATTTTATTACTGTTTTCTGTTATACCCAGTGCAAGCACACTTTCCAGGCCTACGAATAGAGTATTCGGCGGTATCGACTCTGGCCATGCCATGCCGTTCTATACGTACAGCGTCGACAAAGACAATTCAATCTCAGCCGGAAAAATAACTACCTTTGTTCAAGAAGAGCTATTGCATCAAAAAGCCAGTAGTCGTCGTCGAGAAGCGTGGGAAAGCCTGGCGCGCCTTATTAAAGTGTGATGGGAGCCTTCAAAGGTATGAACCATTTGCATTAGGCCTTACTTGAACATTCAGTTGCAATATGCACTGCAGAGGCTGGGGCGTTTTTGATAGCTCAAAATGAGACCTTAAAGGTTTCGATTTCAGCTTCAATTTTTATGCCCTTGTTTTGAGCATTGTAAAACCAAAAGGTACATCAATTCTATTGTTCTCTAGGGGGAAATATTTTTCATACTGTTTTGCTGACACCCTTTTCAGGACCGAAAAAGGCATCGCTAAAACAAAACCTTTTAAAGTTTCATTTTTTACCAGCTAAAATGCACTGGCCTCCTGAGAAGAATAGGAGTTAGGGACGGCCCGGTACCGGCCCGTCCATACAAAAGTCGACTATTCCCAGGGGATCGTCTTCCAACCTTTCCACCATGCCCCCACTAATGAAGAATACGGTTACCGAAAAACTCTTCCAGTCACCGTCAAAGTACATACAAGGCCCCTCTGCTATCAAGAATGCACCGCTGTATCTGGGAAGGCTGGGCAAGACAGCACTGTTAATTGCCGATGATTTGGTGTACAAGATCGGTGAGCGCTGTAGTCGACGTCCTGGGCCAACAACACTAAGCAATGTTGTCAGCTGGAACAGCGTTGACGACAGCATTGGAGGAGGCCAAAATGACAGTCCTGTATGCTAGGTTCAACGGGGAAGCCTCGGTTCAAGAGATCACCCGAGTACAGGATATTGGTGAGCAGGGCAAGGTTCGACTCGTTGCGTTGGCATCCCACGAAAACGAACTTATCATTATTTAGGCTGAATTCGTCATTGCTCTCGGAGGAGGCAAGACCATCGACACTGCCAAAGCCGTCGCCGACAAGCTGGGCGTTCCTTCTGCCATCCTCCCAACAACAGCTTCTACAGATGCACCTTGCTCTGCCCTCAGTGTCCTGTATACTCCGAACGGCGAATTTGATCAGTATTCTTTCTTCCTTGCGAACCCTACCGTCGTACTGGTGGATACATCTATTGTTGCAAATGCTCCTGCTCGGTTCCTGAGCGCGGGTATGGGTGATGCATTGGCGACACATGTCGAGGCCCGTGAGACAAGGAATAGCACCAATTTTGGTGGTCAGTATGTCTCATGATCTGACTCGTGGCCATTGAACTTATCCCAAAAAGGTGGCCTTCCGACGCTCGTGTCAAGTGCTATCACTTCCAAGTGCGAGGAGATTCTCTTCAAATATGGAAAACTCGCGTACGAGGCGAACAAGGTCGGCGCGATTACCCCTGCCTTGGAGGCCGTCGTTGAAGCAAACACATTACTTTCTGGGCTCGGCTTTGAAAGTGGCGGTTTGGCTGCTGCCCATGCGGTAAGTCCATCATCATTCGTTTCTTGGAGCTCTTACTTAGCGTCATGGCGAAGATTCACAACGGTCTCACCGCACTTGAAGGCACGCATCATCTCATGCACGGCGAGAAAGGTAAAACGGTTTGCTTATCTTTCTATGCATTTCTCATTCGTCTTCTTAGTTAACTTTGGTACGATCTGTCAGCTTATCTTATCCAACACGCCTCATGAGGAGATGGATCGGTATCTCGAGTTTATGATCTCTGTTGACTTGCCCATCACTCTGGAGCAACTTGGAGCCAAGGACGCGACTAACGAGCAGCTAAAAAAGGTAGCGGAGCTCTCATGCTCAGAAAACGAGACCATCTGGAATTTGGATCGAGTAATTAACGTGGATGTTGTCTTTCATACGATCAAGGGCGCAGACGCTATTGGGAGGAGTTTCTTGAAGAAAAAAGGGCTGTTGGCGTAGTGATTGGTTTCGCTTGGACTCTTTGTCTTTTCTTCATCGGGCTGTTAGAGCGTTTAGCTGTATGTACTGAAGTGTATCGTTGTGGGCCATTTATTGTAACAAGAATGAGGTGTTGATTGACATCGAAGAGGGAGGGTGAAGCTGTTGACTGACACAAGAAAAACCCACGGAGTGACGTCGAGGTAAAAAAAAGACTTTGGGCAAATTTTCCAGCTGCAGATCTTCGGGACGATCGCGAGGTGGGGAAGAAAGACGGCGAGGATACCGTAGGAATTTCAGATTCGTTTTAGGGAAGAAGGTGGGGCAGTACATGGCATATAGACTAACATGGTATCTTTAACGATTTCATCCAGAGAATAAAGGAGCATCTGGGGTTAGGATTATTAAGTCTGGCATCGAGACTGCGGCGTGAAATTGGTGGAAAAACGAAGTCGAAACGGGAGCTGAGCAGTTGCGTCTTGAAAAGACTTGACAAAAGCCACATCCCTGAAATAGATTTCTTTCACGGGGCAGAGTGATACGTATGGTTTTGTCCCTTGACTTAATCTTCGATCAATCAGTCAGGCAAGCGAAAGGACCTGAACATACCTGTACTGACAAGCATTCTCATAGCCATCCCTGGCACCTGCTGGTGTTTACAATTTCGATATTCTCATATATGCTGAGAATAAGCTCACAGGAAGGAAGGCTCATTGGGCGTACTTCGTTCCGCATCCTATTGTGGGCCCGTTATAAATGTGGATGGTAATCTTTGTTAGGGATTCATCTTCAACATCATTCATGGGTATAACTGAAAACAGACGAGTCATGATCCTGATGCTGTTGCAGGCAGGTTATTTTCACACAGTGAATAATGGCCAGGCTGAGTATGATGGTCAATTGCTTAAAGGCAGTTGACTGTCGACTCAGGACAAAACTGTCTATGCTTATATAAGGTTGATATCAGGTACTTGTGTCATCCCACAACACTCCCCCTTGACACAATACTTCTCAGAGTTCAAGATCCAACAGCCTGATCATGTGAGTCATCTTCTCCTTCCCCAAGGCTTTTGTGAAGATGTCAGCAGGTGTGTCTTCTGTGCAAAGATGTTCAATATGTATGTGCTCCTGCTCAACCTTGTCTCATAACCAGTAGAAGCAGAGGTCAAGATGTTTGATATGACCATGATGGTCAGGATTGCAAGCGACAGAGAGAGCAGACTGGTTGTCAATCAGCAGTGGAGATGGTGACAGATGATGAAAACCAAATTCTGTGAACAGATTTTGCAGCCACAGAATTTTCTGTCCAGCAGAGATGGCAGCCACATATTCAGCCTCTGTGGTCAATAAGGTTACTATAGATTGTAGCTGGCTCATCCAGCTGACTGCACCTGTGCCCATCTTGACAATATATCCTGAGGTTGAATGCCTATTATCTGGGTTTCCACCATGATCTGCATCTCTGTACATTTTGAACAGCTCTGGATTTATAGAGTCAGGTGAATATGTCAATTTTAGGTTGATTGTCCCCTTTATGTATCTGAGGAGATGTTTCAGAGCCTTTCAATGCCTCAATCCAGAGTTTTTGCTGAACTGTAATAGGATGCTGACTGCAAAAGCTATGTCAGGATGAGTGGTGATGGCCAAGTATGCTACAGAGCCAAGGATCTGGAGATATAGGATGTGCTGCATGGTTTCCCATTCCTCTGGAGTAGCAGAGGACATTGAGCTGGATAGCTTAGTGTGTGGATCAAGGGGAGTACTGACACTATTATAGTCAGACATTCTGGTATATTCTAGGATTTTTTGAATGTACTGTGGTTGAGAGAGTGTGAGTGTTCAGTTTAGATGGTTCCTTTGTATTTCAACACCAAGGAGGAATGAAGTTGGACCTAGATCATGAAGTTTGAAGTGCTTCTTGAGGTCATCAACAATATGTCATGCAGACTCCATAGACTTTGCAGCAATTGTTACATCATTGACAAACACAGAGATGATAATTTGAGCATCATCTCTCTTGTACACCCATACACTGTGTTCACAGCATACTCTGTCAAAGCCTATCTTGGTCATAGTGCTGTGGAGCTTTTTGTATCATTCATGCCTAGCCTGCTTCAGTTCATAGATAGACTTGAAGAGACAAAGCATCCAGCTCTTATCCTTTGTCTCAAATCCCTCTGGTTGTTGAAGGTATATCTCCTCTTTCAGATCACTATTCAGAAATGCTGATAAGATGTCTACACTCCAGAGCTCCAGGTTCTCAAGTGCAGCAAGAGCAAGGACTGTTTGGATGGCTGCCTATTTTGGAGTAGGAGAGAAGGTTTCAGTGTAGTTGAAATCTGGCTGCTGTGAGTACTCTTTTGCAACATAGCATGCCTTGTAGCATTCAATGGATCCATCAGGGTTATGCTTCACTTTGAAGACCTATTTTCCACCTATAGCCTTTCATCCTGGAGAGAGCTTCACAAGCTCAAAGGTGTCACTTTTCTGCAGTGTATTCAATTTCTGCTGAGCTGCTTTATACTATTTTTCACTTTTCTTTTCTAGTTGAGTCATGGGCCTCTGCAAGTGTCTTTGGCTCATTGTTGGATACAGATGCTTGGTTTGCCATCTCCACTGCTGTCTGAAATGTGAGCTCAAGAGCTTCTGTATATGTGATATAGTCATTATCATGCAATACAAAAGTCATTCCTGCAATAATGTCTGTCTCAGTAAGCTCTAGCTTGGCAGTAGTTTCATCAGTAGGATCAGAGACAGGTTTATCTGAGTCTGATGAGTTCATTGCATTAGTGCCAGAATGTTTATGGTGAAAACCATGTCCAGTGTTTGGAGATGGAATTATAAGGCCTTTGGAGTCATATTGTGGCTTGAAGCATGTCTGAGAATGTGAGAGTGGTGAAAAGAATGTAGAAGATATTGGAAGACTTGATAGTGGAGTAAGAGATGATCCTGGAGGTGTTTGCATATCTAGTAGAGTGGATGGAGCTGACTTAGATGGTGAGAATGGTGATGATGAGAGTTGCTCAAATAGCAAAGATGGCTTATCAGTAGATATATCCTCTCTCTCTTGATAAGGCATTATTGCATCAGGTATAGCAGTATCTGTGCTGTTATATCTGTTTGTGGGAGGTGTATCATTACCAAGAGGATTTATAATATTTCTGTGGTTTTCAGAAATACATGCTCATTGAATACAGTATAGCTGGCAATGATGAACCACTGCATAGAAGGGTTTCAGAATAGTCAGCCTTTTATTCTCTCTGGATATCCAACAAAGATACATTTTTGAATATGTGACTCTAATGCTTAATATCTTTTTCTTTATACTAGCACATATGCAAGGCATCCAAACACACAAAAGTGAGATATATCTGGTTTTTGATGAGATCTCATTCTGTGAAGAGTGTGGTGTTCAGAAGAGGATTTGTGGGGATGTGATTTTGGACATGGATGAATACTCAGATAGCAAAGTTCCAAAATGATAGTGGAAGATGTGACTCATTTAGCATGGTAGTGATGGCCTCTGCAGTCATGTGGTTGGCTCATTCTGCTGTGCCATTCTGGTATAGTTCATCAGATTCAGTATGTCATCTTTTGATCTTATGCTCAGCACAGAAGTTGATAAACTCCTTTCTCATATATTTGTCACCTTTGTCTTTCTGAAACTCAATGATTTTGAGTTCTGGATGGGTATTCTCTGCATATGCTTTAAACTGCTTGAAGGTATTAAAGGCATCACTTTTATACTTCAGAGGTGCAACAGTCCAAGTGTCAGATGCACTGCAGATGAATGTTATCTAGTAGCAATAGCCCTCTGGAGTTGCAACAGGCATTGGACCTTTGATATCACTGTATACTCACTTAAGAAGATGTTTCTTCCACTCTTCTGAGCCACAAAGAAGATTGTGGTGATGCTGTTTGCCAGTAAGGCATGATGTTAGGCTCAAGCTGCATGTGATCAACTAACACATGATAAGCTAACATGACTTCACATTTGAGCCTTCCATTAGAGTCCACTTTTATGTGTTATATGTTGGTTCCCTGTGCTTCAAGGCTTTGTGTGATTTTAGCATAAGAGTAGAATGAGAATGTATAAACTTTAGCTTGAAGCTGAGGTTTACCAGCAAGGATGAGCTCCTTAAATATTGTACAGGACTCTGCTAATAATACTACATACTTATTATGTATCCCTCTGTCTTTTGTGCTCATTGTCCTAGGGCATCATTACCATACATAAAAGGCTGACTGCATCATCAGGCAACATTGTTACATTGAGAGACAATAGCAGGCTTGGCCAGTTGTGATGACTAAGCTCCCATCTCATGGTCTCAGATGCTTGTTCTGACACCCTGACTAAGCATAAATAGGAGTTGAAAAGAGAAGAAAAGGAACAAAAATCATAACATTACCCCCTCCTTAAGACCATCATCCTGATAGCTTAATTTAAGGATAATTCATACTCATATATGGTATTGTTGGCATTCATTTGTTTCTCATTTACCCACTGGTTAGATTCCAGTCTATACCTCTTCTAACTAACAAGATAGTCCACTGTTGTTGTCATTTCTCCACCTTTTGCTTTGACTTTTCATAGTTTATGATTTAATACTTGGTTGACTTTATAGTGTTCTTTGTCATCGACAAGAGTAGGGGGTGGAGGTGGTGGTCATTCTTGGTTTGAGAATGCCAGGGCAATATATGGCATTAAGAGTGTCTCATTGAAGACATTGTAAATCTTCCAGGTTTTGAGTAGTTTTAGTTTGTAGGCACTGATGCTGATTTTTGTGGTTACTGTAAAGGGGCTGGTTTGCTTGTCAGCCAGTTTGCATTTGGGACATAGAAGATGAAGGTTGGTGATATCCAATCAGACTTTATCATTTGGAGAGTATTCATAGGCTGGCTATCGATGCTTATCATATTGAGCTTTCATTGTTGAGGCAGCCTTTTTAAGGGCTGTCCTCATTTCAGTATGGATTTTTGCCATGATGACAGCAAAGTCTGCTGAGGCAGGGGTGGTTGTA